TTACTCATTCAAATTCTAAGTTCACAGTATTGATACATTTCCAATGAGGACAAAAGTAACGCTAACCAAATGATCTGTACACATCTACACAACAGACAATTCTGGTTCTTTCAGTATTTCGCTGAAGTCATCTGATCAAATTCAGAGAGTGGAAGGAAGATATAAAAATATATCTGGTCTAAAGATATCTTCAGACAACTATAGGGAGGAGCAAACAAGAGTGTCAGGGAGAGGTATGAGAAGAAAAATACACCCACCTTACATCACTGAAATGGTGACCCTTGCTTGCTACTAATGCATAGCAAGGAATATTGTAACATTCAACATTCTATTACTATTATCCCCCCCCCCCCTGCTTTGACAAACTAAAATTACTGTCTCAACTGGATTTGAAGTATCCATAGTCAGAGTGCATGAAAAGCAAACCAGGGCATACAAGACATTAACAACCTAAAAAGAAAGCGTTGCATCACCACTCACAGAATTGCCTACTCCAAATGCCATCACAGAAATGAGATTACTGAAGGAACATTTATGAAAAGTGAACAATATGTCCACCGATCTTTACACGAAACCTTCAAAAAAGTGTTTATAAAATTATATATATATTTCAAATATTCAGTGAATGGGGAAAAACATCTGAAATGCTTGCTGAAATACATTCAAAACTTAAACTCTTGCCGCCAGTGACCTAACCTGAGAAGACGAATTTGAAAAAAAGTATTTAACGAGTTTCATTTTCACAATAGAGCTACAAAACGCCTTTTCTGGAGGGTAGCCCAAGCGATACATTTATAATATTTACTTCACACAGCTTTGATTCAAACAGGACAACCAACAAAAACAACGCTGCTATATAATGGTATGGCAAAGGCTAAACTGACATCTTGAGTGGTGATTTTGAGTCAGCTGTTCAAGTATTGCAAAAAGAGAAATCTAGTTCAACCCTCCAAAAACAAAATAACCTGACAACGGCACAGATCGAAAAACATGAGGCGTTAACATTTTGACAACTCAGTATTTAACCCAAAACCAAAAGTATTCCCTCTTGTTTTGTACTATCAACAACCAGAAGTGGTATACATCCAAGACCATCACCTCATATAACATGAGAAACAATTACCCCCCCCCAGAGACTGACCACCACACATCTGTTCACAAGTGTAGCCTCTGAATCAAAGATTTAAATTCAAGATAAGAGTAAGTAAAGACCGAGAGATGAAATGGCTGTCACAAATGAGATCCCCAACTACTACCATTGCAATGACTTCTGGCTATTATACTCTTGAAGGTGAATGCTGGTAAAGACAAGTAAACAAAAGTCAGGCTAGAGGAAAACAAGCTGTGGCCTCGACAGCTTCAGTTTCAGTCTGTTTACATAAATGGCAGTGATGTCTTCGCATGCAAAGCTTGGTGAATAGTAAGGCATACAATTACGCTGGCTGGTTTTGTCTGAACCTTTTTGAGTTTATTAATTACATTTGCTGGTGCAAAAAACTCACAAGTACAAGTAAGGGACAAATAACTGTCTTTCAACATACGATTCAAGCACTAAATTTCATGTTATGCAAGATGTTTTAATTACTTGATAGAGTGCTCATTTACTGAATATTTGAAACAGCTTTTGAAACAAAACAATAAACTGAAAGCAGCATGAAGCACTCTTTTTTGCCAGGGTTTACAATCTAAAAGGAACACGTAGAATCATGCTATATAGTATTTAACAGCAAAGTATAAAATGTAGTAAGTTGAGAAAGTGCACAGGAAGCTTGAATGAAAATGCCAGAGTAAGTTCCTACCCTCTCAAATTCAAGAATTCATTATAATTCCAGAATCACAAATGACGTTGACCAAACTTTGTAAAATTTACAAGTCAACATCTAACGACACAGATATTTGAATGTCTCCAGATCAATAAAAAAAAACCGAAGGACAGCAGCAGCAAGAAGAGCTTTAGTTCTAACTGTAGCAATAAGAAGTTGATGAGTTTAATAAACCCCAAAGTCCAAATTTTGATAATTAATACACCCCCCCCCCCCCCAGCTCTATCAAAAATGCACCTTTCAGCATCACCAAAAATGCAGTTTAATGCCATGGTCAAGGCTTACAACTTTCTTGCTTTTCCTGGTAGGAACAAGACATCAAAAACTAATTTTTTGTTTTAGGTGTAAAAGGTACCATATGGACTTAAGTGGATTGCTTCAAACACAGACGAATTGTTCTACACCCAGCAAGTGAACTACTGGATCAAATGAAAATTGCAAAACCCTTCCATGGTTTCACTGCTGTCAGGACAAAAGTTTTGACATTTATATAAAATGTCAGCAAAAAAGCCATCAGACTTGTGGTTCTTACAGAAATTAATTCTAAAAATTCAACATTCATCTGCAATCAAATGCTATAGATAACAACAAATACAGAAAAGAAGTTTACAACTAACGATTAAGAGACACTTCCAAAAAAAGAGAAAAACAAACAAACATTCGTTCGCAAGCTGATGAATAACCCTGTACCACTCACAAAAATGTCGCTGTTTCTTCAATCTCACCCCCCCCCCCTTCAAAGTATCATAATCAACTATAATCATAGGTGGGCTCTATGAGGTAAAATCAATTCCTAAAGGGATAACAAGGTAAAGCATATTTTGTTAAAGTACATGGGAGCCTGCTTGGTGGAATCAGCGGGTACGTGGGGCGCATTTACACGTTGAAACCACTGTCATGGCTTTGTTGGTGCCCGCCAAAATCAAAATTTCAGTGTAACTTCTACTTCATCGTACATAACATGACTCAATGAACACTAACAATAATGTGCAAAACTGTAAAAGCCTTCCAACATATTTGCATATGAGAATAGAAACACGGTTTTCAAAAATTTAGGTACTTTACACAAAACATTAAAAACAAAAAAGGACTAGAATAAAAAACACATCTTTCCGGTAATGTTTTGTCCCCTCTCTCATATCCGCAGCTCTTTGTAATAAGTGCAGAGAAGTCCAAAAAAAATCCCACAAAGTATATGTTGCTGAATGTACAGAAACACAGAAGACAATGGAATTTTCTCACGAACCTTGTGAAAAACATTTCGTGAAGAATATTATGTGATCACAATGAAAAGATCGACAATGTCACACAAAAACAGGGTAATGCAAAAAAAATAAAATTCTTCGCACCAAACAGATCTACACAAAAACTGAAGCTGATTGGTAATGAGTGATAAGGATTATGAACGTTACAAAACAACATGAGGAAACTCATATGACCTAAACAAAAAATGCCAGTGTACAAGGATTGAAATTACTTAGCTTACCAGCACATTCATTTTGAACATTTGCTGCATTTATTTCAGACTTAATATACTTTGTGTAGAAAAATAAGGTGACAAGAGTCAAATTTCAGTTTTAATAACCTTCTCTTGAAACAGAAAAATGTTAACACTCTTGCACCTGAAGAAAAATGTAAAAAGAGAATAAGAACGGAGGTTGATGCTACTTGCTCAACAGAAACATGATTTGTTTTGCTAGAGTTCAGAAGATATTTAAAAAAAACAAAAGCGCCCAATATTGACTAGTTTCTTCACATACAAAAGACCCTGAGCTCACTCAGTTCCAGGTATTCTGCTACTAACTCAGAGATCCTCTGAAAAAGCATGTCTACTAAAGAATCTACAATTCAGACATGAATGGGTCGTGGTCATCCTAATATTAATGCAGGGCAAAACACAATGATTCCCAACAGGACTACATTCATTTTCAATATGCTTGAAGTGATGAGAAATTCAAACCCAAATTTCTTAAAAAAGAAAATGACCAAATCTGAAAACAATCCAGAGACAGCTACATGAATGTACGGTAACCCCCCCCCCCCCCCCTAGTAAAGTGCAAATACCCCATGGGCAAGAAAACAGGGCAATAGAGAATTGCTCGAGATCACAGAAACACAAGACAAAACAAGCTGAACTAAATTAATTGTAAAGCATAAAAGAGCAAGAATAAATTAATTCCGCAAGTGAAAGACTAGAGTGTTGTTAAAAACGTCTAGAATGAAAAAGGGGGGGGGGGGGGGGGAGATCCGGAAATCCCATCTTATTCATGATTCAGGGACATGTCGAGACCCGAGCAAGACACACAAAGGCTGGGCTAATCAAACAGAAAAGAACATACTTTTTTAAGAAAAAAATAGTCAGCTTGTTAGTGTACCGAGCCAATCAAGGAAAAAGTAGCTGAGACCCTAATCTATCCTCTGAATTACCACTCATTCTGATTTCAATTTTTTGTTCTATCCATCACTCACTCCTGCCTGCATGCCACCAGAACATGCTGTAATGACAACACTGACAACATCATAAAAGTGGTTGTATACAAAGCAAACACTGTAAACTGTAGGCTGAGCAAGGAAGAGGTTCACTTTGCATTAGTGTGTGAAATCTCACTTCAGGGGGGGGGGGGGGGGGGGTTGGTTCTCCCCAGAAATCTTGACCTACACCAAAAGTGGGCATTGCCCTACCTAAGGGATAAGTTTAGTTTAATTGGTGAGTATATTTGATTGGTCATAGAGAAAACTGTCCAGGTCTTTTAAGAAACTGAACAAGGGTCCAAAAACTTTACCTTCAATTTTCTCATAACAGCGCTTTTCGGGATAGCCCCTTTGTGCTTAAAAGCGGCCATTTTATGTAAGGTAGTGTCAATTGCCACCGAGTGACGGGGTGGCAACTGACAAAAATTGACTTTTTGTCAATTGCCACCGAGTAAATTGGAGCTCTTTTGCGTTGGTGGGTAGATCTAGCTTATTGTGCTCGATGTTGTGCGTTCGCCTCTCTGTCCCTCTGTGTGTGTGTGTGTATCTCTTTTCCTGACCCCCGTCCCCTGATATAACGTGAATTTCTGCTCGAGTTTTTGTATGCGTTTGTGACCTTCTACTTCTAGAATTGCCTGTGTTGGTTCTACACCAAAGTGTAGGCTAAGGCTAGCCTAGATCTAGGCCTACGTCTAATTGAAAACATGCCAAGTTGGTACCATAGCTCTAGACTAGATGCTCGTCCAATGAAATTAGTTGAGAACAAATTGACCCATTAGACGTTGTTTTGAGACTTGACACCCCTTCACTCGGTGGCAATTGACAAAAAGTCAATTGCCACCGCGTCACTCAGTGGCAATTGACGCTACCTTTATGTAAAAGCATCAAACTGGATTTATTGAATAAAAACGTTAGCAACGCCAAAGCTACCACTTTTGTACTATAACCAAAAGAAAAGACTATTGGGAACGAGAGTGAGCTCTTCAAACACAGCAGTGAAAAAGTTTTATGAGGGAACTTAATAATTCAAAGGCATTCTTTTTCAATTTTTACTTTTAAAAAAAGAAAAGAAGGGACCCAACATGTAACATGTCTACTGAGAAAAATGAATATTTCAAGACCACAACAAACTGAAGACAACAATCCAAAAATGTCAAGACAAGTAAACTTGTGCAACACACAAGACAAAGTTTTTGATAAGTAAACATCTCTGCACAAATCTCTAAAAAAATTATTTCCAGGGTTAAGGCACCTTCAAGGGACAAAATGTTCAAACAAAACAATGACATGAGACTACAAATTAAACATGTACCAATCTTATAAAACAAACCGTAAACTGCTGCTCCTAATGTTAGATCCATAATGAATGAGAAATGTCTGTACTAAAGATGAAGTAATACTGAACATTTTATGCGTAATGACATTGACAATTAAGCCTGTAAAATTTTGTGTATCTTTTTCAAACTACCCTTAGTGTCATTCATTAAAAAGAAAAAAACATCTTCAAAATTGGGCGTTGAGGATAGGTGACAAAAAGGAAAACAAAAACTTTCTAGTAACTTTACTTCCCCTAAGAGGACAGTTTCACACAAAGATCATGCCAGAGATCTTTCCCCCCTAACAAGGCATCACACACTTCAGAAGCACCCATCAGTATGAACTCTCTACTTTCTTTAATCCCATTTGAAGCAAACAGAGAGCAGTATCTCCCCCCCCCCCCCTCCAAAGAAAACCACAACAGGAGAACGTGGCTCCTTACTGTAATCATTATAACATCTCGTAATAAATAAATAAATTTCAGATTGATCACATATAAAAACCCCACCTCAAGACTTAAATATCATGCACTCGTCACTCATCAGTCATCTGGGATCACATATGGCAATATGTAAAGTGGTTCGTCGTATACAGAGTCCACTGTAAGCAATTCAGCCCACTGCCGGAACTGTCCATCACGATCATAAGTCCCATTGACCCCTTCCATATTTTCACTGTGTAACCTGACCACGAGCTCACTCCCAACCTGCATGGGCTGAAGCGAAGGGTAGTCATGACTTGCCCAGTCTATGTTGTCAAAGTCAATTGGCGGCAGACGAGCGAGAATCTGTTCCTCTGACAAACGCTCAGAAGATGGTGCATGCACATCAGCCACACCACATGACGATGAAGGCAAATGGTGTGCAGCACCTTCTAATATATCTCTGGCTTCAGGGGGGCTTGCAGACGGACCTGAATCGGACTTGTCCTGCCGACTCGGGTATGATGGGAAGTTTGAATCATACGCAGACTGCGCAAAGGTAGTGCTGCAACCACCCAAGCCAATTGGTTGCTCCTCAAGAGATTCATGACGAGACTGGGAAATTGGTGCTTCATAGATATCTTCACCTGGTGTGGGTGCGACTGATGTCTGAAGAAAACGTTTAATGTACTCACTCTTTGTTTGTGCTAATTTTCTCCCATCAGAGGCAGACTCCTTGTCTGGTAGTTCTAACTGTTCCCGCTCTTGCTTTTTCTTGCGACCACGTCGCTTTACTCCTGGAGGAAGAACAGGCTTTAGATAGTCACTTTCTTGCTGAATCTTATTCGTTCTGATCTGAGCAATAACCTGTGTGCCTACTGGTGTTGTGGATTTGCCCTGCATATCTTCAATGAGCTGCTCGGTGGTTTTCACTTTATTAGTTCTTTCTCTAGTCCTCAACTCTGTGGATTGCACAGATAAGCGGGAGCTGACACTGTCTTGCCGTTGCAAAGCAAGTCTTTTGTTTGCTCGACTAAGCGGCGTGGAAGGTTCGGGTTGGTCAAGGAGACTACCCTTGTTAGATGAAGAGACCATGGTTTTGTGATCTACGAATAAATTTTCTGTCGAAGCAGAGGCCGCTGGGGACTTTCTACCACTTTTTCGCAGTACAGTACCATTTATCACATCACTTTTGCTGAATACAGGTGCTGAAAGACTAGGAGATGAAGAAGTAAGACGTACTTGTTTGGAGGAAGGAGTTTGTGATTCAGAGTCATCTAATCTTGTTTCAGCACGCGTCCTTTTACGGTTGGCAACATTTGTTTTAGACACATCTCTTTGATCCGATGCCCTGTTCACTAACTTTGATGTTGATTCTAAGGAATGATCAGAGGATTTATGATCAAAATTGAAGTGACGTTCGTTGGTGCCTCCTGCCTGACAGTTTTTGGAACCACCACTGGCGTCTGGTTTAGCACTGTCACGATCCCCCGCAAGACGGTCCTGGCTGTTTTCACAAGGCGGACAAGGGGGAGTCCCAGGCCAGCTGAGATTGGAGTCATCATGGTTGTTACTGGCACTTCGGAGGACAGCAGGACTCCGCGAGTCACTACCCCTTTGAAGTTTCTGTGAGAGCTTTGAGACCTGAGCAGCTGGACTCCGCGAGCCTGCAACCCTCTGCTGCTGTCTGACCTGTGCCAATGCAGGTGACGGTGCACACCTGACTGGGGTGTTTGAGCGACTGATGGCTGGGGACAGGCCTGGACTGACCCGCTGAAGTCCCGGGCTGATTCTTTGGAGGGATGAGGAGCTGACATTTGGATGCTGGCCATTGGCCACCTGTGGGGACCCTGGAACAACAAACAGCCTCTGCCATGCTTTTACAAGGTTTCGAGCCCTCTTTGCAGTCGCTGGGATTTTGCTGGTTTTTCTAACGTAATTGATATCCCTTCCCAGGCGAGTTTGCTGAAACAGAGAAGACTTTCAATTAGAAAAGTTTTTTTTTTTTTAATCACGAAAAAGGTAAAAGAGACAGAAAAGTTGAATTACTAAAATGCTTTGACATATTAATAGCAACTTTTACTCTAATTAAGACAAGAGACATTAAAACCCACTGACTATTGATTCCCTTTCAGTAGATAAATTAAAAACATAGAGATCTACAAATAAAAGATAATTTAGTTCAAAGAAAGTAGAAAGAGTAGCACATATATACCCAATAATGGCCGTCTAGTGCAAGGAAAAGACAAGAGAGACAGAATTAACAGAGGGAAGGAAAGCAGTAGCACTATTATGTGACCATGTCTGCCAGTAGCGCCTTCTGATCACCTGCTTCTTTTTATCAAGATACTTAAATGACCAAAATAATAACCTGATCATTTTCCGTACCAATTTTAGCTAGTGCTTCTAATCTGCCAACCAAACCTAAGCTTTTTGAACAACAACAAAAAAACGGGCAGATCTCCAAACCATAGTAAAGCACTAATACTGCAAACTTTTCAACCCCCCCCTGCCCCCCAAAAAACCCCAGACCACCCTGACAGTGGGTCAAGATGGTGGGCATTGGACAAGTAACCCCTCCAAAAAAAACCAACACACATTTTTCTACATTCAATAAATGCAAGCTATATTTTAAAGAAGACCTGCTACAAAAGGTCTCTCAAAATGACATACGGGGTTTATTCACATTAATATCTAAGAATTCAGTCTTGAAAGTTCATTATTTCTCTTCAGCATCAGCAACCCTGTGAAGAGCAATACTAGAAAATAGAGGATACACATGTTCTGATACAAAAACATCCTTCTATACCCAGACCATAAAAAAATATTTTATGGGTTTTTTTACGTACTGGGCGGCAGCTATGCATACGCACCAATAAACAAAAAGCTATTTTTGAAATACCACTCCATGCAGACAGCACTAATGCAACTACCAGTTCCATTCAAACAATAACAGAATGAGAAAACTACACAAAAAATAAGTACAGTGGAGTCCACTTATAACGAGTCCGGAAAAAACGAAAAGTCTGTTATAAAGACATTATTCTAAAACCCCATTTTTTCCTCTTCTTTACCTTTGTAAATAAAATACTGCTATAGCGCAATCAGACAAACATGCGAGTCGGTTATAGCGGAATATTGCTGCTGCTGTGCACAGGCCAATTATCTATAATTAAAAAACCTCTCCAGTTGAGAAACTTGGTGATCTAGCGAAACAAAGAATGGGAGAGCCAATGTGTGTCAACAATGAAGGCCAGAGCGACTGAGTAGGGACGGTGTGGCATGCGCAGACAAGCAGAACGCATCGCGTGATAGGCCAGTGTAAGCCTAGTTTAGATTATCAAGGCCTACCATGCCTCTCACTTCTCCAATGCGGGGATGGAGAGGTCACACCAATGTGATGGGTGGAGCGAATGAGTGATGTGCGCAAGCTGACAGAATGCACCACAGGGTGTGGTGGGGTGGGGAAAAACAGTGGGAGAGTTAGCGGAGAGCCCTTTCTTTCTGATCGCCAACACCGAGCTGTCAGTCAACATCGCTAGATCTAGCGCTAGAGAAAGAAACCTGATTCGATTTTTGATCAAGTAAGACCTAGAGGTCATGTTGAAACAAAATCATCATCAGGGGAGATAGCAAAAGGAAGTAAACAGAACCGCAAAATCATAAATCTGGCCTATTTTACAGTTCCCCTTAAATTTATTACTGGATCCCTTATAGTGAGAATCCTGCTATAACGGACATTTTGCTCCGGTCCCCTGCCTCTCGTTATAACAGGATTCCACTCTATTTGCACTCCCTGGCTACATATTTTAGTGACACTTTATAGCCTTTATTTTGGCAATATGTGCATGCAGAAATGCCTAGCGGTGAAGCTATATCAGACTTTAGATGTCAAAATGTCTTTAAATAATGGAACACAAAATATTTTTCATTCCAAAGAAAGCTATCATGAGACTGCTTGATCTTGCGATGACAGATGTGGCACTGTTCTGTCAAACTGGGAGTGAAAAAACCTATTTTATAGAAGTCGAAGCTGCATTAATTTGGCAAACTAACCTCAAGGATTTCCTTCGTGAGGGAACTGGTCTCCAAAAGTGTGATGACTTCCTCAACAGCTTCCTCATCCACCACCTGAAATAAAAACCACACATTAAAAATAATATGCTGCCTGTCAAATAGTAATTCATTTTACCAGATGGTTATGTTCTTGTCTTACCATTCCAAGAAGGCCATCTGTCTCCTCGACAACAAATTATTAAATGAAGAACTGTATCAAAGTTCTATTAGTCTTACTTTTAGTATCAGCTGAGAAAAGACAGAAACGGAGACATTTGGGGAGAAGGAGAAAAGCAAACTAAAAATTTTCACCTTTGATCTTCTCCTTTACTCTGTGTGTGCATGTGCGTTTGTGTCTGTGTGTGCATGTGTGCATGCTCTTGTGTGTGTTTATATATATATATGGGGAGGGGAAGGGGGTGTTTCGGTGAGCACGAGTTACGAAGAACAGTGTGTATGTAATGAGGCGAGGTTGCTTTTTTAAAAGCATTTATGGACCATCGTTCAAGGCACATATCAATCAGTATTGAATCTGGAATTGAGTGCAGAATGACTGCCAAACTGACTTCAAAACCACTAGCCCATACCAATAGAAACTCTATTAAAACATATTTCCCGACACTAGCACGGGACATAGATAAGTCCTTTGTGACTTAGGTATGACAGACAATTAATTTCAACTAGTTTTACCCTAAAAAACCCAAAATGAATCCTGATCTGGGCCTGAAGAGAGGCAAGAAGAACATCAACTGCCAAAACCTTGTTTGGTTTCAGCAATCATGGATTTTAAAAAGCATTGAAGACAAAACATTTATAAAACCTTTATAGTTACGCCTACGGCAGAGCAAAAAGTGAAAATAAAAGAGAGCGTGTACCGAGAGCCAGAGCTGGAAGGACTGTGAGAGCGTTGGATGTAGTGATGCTGAAAACCTGGCAATCAGTGAATTACTGCATCATGGACTAAGTGTTGATTTTTTATTCAAAATGCTAAATCCCAGTACCAGTTTTTAATCAGCAACAAGCCATCATGATGCATAGGCATCCAACACAGAGCTTTCCGGGGGTTGAAAATGGCATTTCCCCATTGCCACTACTGAATTTGTCATCACTGATAATGTCAAATCCGGGAACACCAACCTTGAAGATACACTCATAAAGCCTGTGCTCTAATGTTCCCTCATTTACGCACTCGATTGTCGAATGTCAAAACTACTTTCACTTATCGTTTTTATTTTAGCATCGGTTTCTAGCACCGCGGCCTTTTCCTGATACCGTAGACTTTAATGCCTCACCTCCGCTCAATTCTGAAGCCCTGCAATGCTCCTACTTTGAAAGAACTTTGATTAGGCTTTTCCCAACAACCACCGGCCGGTCCCTTACTCATGCCGTAGACCGGTTACGATGGTGACCGGGCCCGACAATCTAGAAATCGGAGAACGCTTGTTTTCATTTTCTTCCCTTTTTTTTTTGGTCATTATAGTGACATCAGTGAGAATATCGATTTAATTTGTATGGTGACACTGTTTTTTATGCACAAACTGTAAGTTGCAAATTTTTATTAACCGTAAATCTAACGTTAAACTATCATACTGAGCCTGAGCGGTAACAAAAGCGTAAGTAGATTTTGATTTTCCCGAAGGAGTCTAAGTATTACAACTTCACTTCCGCCTGCCACAATAGCCGCTTATTCGCGTGAAACGTACTCTCGGACTGGGGAAAGCCGAACGTAACATCACAAACGCGACCGGTAAAATATGAACTCGGCAGCCTTTTCAGATTTGGTTTCGATGACTTTGTGAATTTCCTCAGGTCTCAGCGATTTTTTTCTCCAGATCTCCACAGTCCCCCTGTGTAGAATCCCCATTTGGTACCGACCAATTTTCTAGACCAAGACAGATTTTAGAATGTTTTGCTTCGATACCGATTTTCTTTCTACATTCACAATTCTGCTTTCTAGATAAATCGCAGTCTAGCCGTACTTATTCTTAATATGATGGCTAGACTGACCATTTACCAAAAATAGGCCTACATTTTTAGTGTCCAGTACCTAAAGTATTTGTATTTTAGACGAAACCAGGTGCCTTAATGACAGTGCATGTATTTTAAACCCCCTGTTAATAGGGCCTAAGGTAAGTACGGCTAGACTTCTTGTCTAGCCGTACTTAAGTACGGGTAGACAGCCAGGCTAGCCGTACTTAATATTGATGGCTGAATTGTAAATGAAATTTTTAGTTTGCAATGCCTAAAGTATTTGTATTTTAGACAAAACCAAAAGGTGCCTTACTGACTTGCATGTATTTGAACCTGAATAATTACTAGATCTAGATCTAATGAGACCTGTGTACTTAACAGGCTTGAGTCTATAGGGCTAAACCTAGATCTAAGTACGGCTAGCCACTTCGTTACGTTTAAGAGCAGTACCCTTCATAGGCAACACGCCATATCTGTAGCGAAAAACTGTTTGGGACTGTAGCATTTCTATATATAAATATTTACTGAGGACATTTTTTGGACCGCTTGAACCATATTGTATACGAACAATCTTTGGTAGGCCTATACTATAATTATAAGATCTATATAATATCTGAAATTTGCGAGAAAGGATGAGATTTCAGAGTGTCCGGAGAAATAGTGCCTAGCTTTATTTTCCCGAACGTTCGGAGAAATAGTGCCCAGCTTTATTTTCCCGAACGTTCGGAGAAATAGTGCCGGCCTAATTTTTTTTCTGGAGAGGCGAAAAATGTTTTTTCATCATTATTATTCTATTTGTTGTTCTTTAAAGATTCCATCCATTATTTTACATTAAAAAAATATAGATCTAGATCTACATCACTGTGTGTGTGTGTCATGAAGCTATTCTCAAACAGGCTTTGTTCCACAACGGGTGAGAATAGCCAACGCTAGCAAGTCTCACCCGGGGTGAGAGGCCGATTGAATTTTTTTTAGGCCGGCACTATTTCTCCGAACACTCTGAAATCACATCCTTTCTCGCAAATTTCGGATATTATATAGATCTATAATTATAGTATAAGCCTACCAAAGATTGTTCGTATACAATATGGTTCAAGCGGTCCAAAAAATGTCAGCAGTAAATATTTATAAAAAGAAATGCTACAATTCCAAACAGTTTTTCGCTACAGATATGGCGTGTTGCCTATGAAGGGTGCTGCTCTTAAACGTAATGTGTTGTGTTCACTCGTGTGCTGTCTAGATCTAGATCTACGGAGGGTTATTGATAACGACACATAGAACTGGCATCTGCGTTTGTCACTGCTGCGACCAATGTACTGACACTGACAAAGCCCCTTAATGTGTGTGATTCCATAATTTACATGTAATATCCTGTCCTTTTTTTAAAAATTACGCACATTTAGGGTTAAAACAGCCCATCTTCTTCAGACAGGTGGACACACGCCCTTATTTGTCAATGTTTGTTGTTGTTTATGGGCTGTTCTAATTTTGATTTCTTTCTGTTGTGAAACCTTTCTTTTTCACGTTTTTACACTCATCTAAAAATCTCTAGACTAGCTCTTGAAAATTGAAATAGATATAGACCCAAAAATTTGCTCCTGTGTGTGTGTGTGTGTGTGTGCGTGTGTGAGTGTGTCTGTGTGTGGTAGTAAGTGGAGAGTGAGGAGTGTGTGTGTGTGTGTGTGTGTGTGTGTGTGTGTGTGTTTTCGGGTTTTATTTCAGCCTGTATTCAGTAACAGTTCAAAGTATACAAAAATAGAAACACAGGATCCATTCACTCCAGGGCTCATGAGTCGTTCGTCTCTTTCAGTTTCCCTCATTCATTCAATTCCCGTGTTCTCTCCCGCGGCTCATCCCTGTCCGCATGACTTTCTTCATACCCCACCCCCTCCCTCCAGGCACACACAAAGTCTTGTCTTGTAGTTGCTGTCGCCTGTGGATACACTCGCACATTCTTCCTTTCACCCGCTCTTTCACACACACTGTCTCTCCGTCCACAGCTCAGCTCGTCATACGTTCAAAAGTTGCCCACTGGTCATGTTTAGTTAGTGTGTGTACATGTGCATGATGGTGGTGGGTGTGTGGTGGGTGTTACTGAAGGTTGTCTGTAGGCGGGCTTGCCATGCGGTGTTCCTTCCCAGACCAGAGGCCAGAGGCAGAATGAAAGTTGGCGCCGAACTCTCGCAATAAATAGACAAAAATCACGAGACCGGAAGCCGGAAACCGTTTGGAGAAATAAAGATCGGCACTATTTCTCTGAACGTTCGGAGAAATAGTCACTTCGTCTTTTTTATTCTAAACGGGTGAAAATAGACACTTCCTTTCATCATCATCATCGATTAATACACACCCACTGTATTCACGGTGAATACACACGTTTCTAGGGCCCCTTGCTATACAGTAACAGTACACACTGAGTGACCTCGGTGGCCTGTCAGACGTCCATGGTTACGGTATGAAGTTACTCTTAAGACTTGAATCTCCGCAGACACAGAACAGGAGTTTCAAGAAGTTGATGCCCAGCACTAATAAACACACTTGTTCACCATGACATCATCTATCAGTGAAAAGCACACAAAAAAGTGTAGGAACAGGTCATGACACACAACATGACATGCCTCTGCTGACAGTCGGTCTATGCAAGTAGTATTAGTATATTATTTGGCCCAAACACTGCTACAAGGTAACCAAGATAGTTGGAAGACTTTAACATCAATGCAGGTGGATGGGGTGGGGTGTTGATCCAGCCAACACTTGGACTTGGACACTTTCAGGTATATTATGTCTCGGCAGGAGAAACACTGACCTCCTAGCTGAGTGCGCCATGTGTCATCAGAGGCAGAGGTCGCTGCTGCAGGGTTAAGAGATTGGGTTCATTGGTTATGCATGCACATTTGAGAAAACAAAATCAAGAACAGTGAGTGTGCTGAAATGCACACTCATTTTCCTTTTAAAAAAACCCACTACACTCTCAGTACCAGGGAAGGTGTTCATTTTATAGGACTATTCTACCAGTCTGGGCTACTACACCAAGCCAGCACAACTTCCTGAATGAATGTAAGGTGTTCAGAACCCAAAATAGTAGGCTATAAAGTTACACAGATGTATTAGCTTTAAAACCAAAACTTTTCTCTGCCTCAACTAGATCTAGAAGATACTTGTAAGTTTCACCTCTCTAACTTTGCACACATGATGCTGACTGAAAATATCATTTTGTGAGATGGAGAGTGATTGTGAGAAGTCATGGGGCAGTCAACAGTCCCAGGCAAACAAAAGGAATGTGTTGTTTTAACTTGCTTCAACCACTGTCTTTTGGGAAAAATGTAACCTTCAGTTTGTTCTGGCTCTACAACTAGTCTAGATGTAGATTTAGGCCTGGTCAGAACATATGATGAGTGTCAGTGAGGGTCCCATGCAACCTCGTACTCGTGGTTCTGGTTGACCATCTCTTCTGTCCTCCCTTGTTCTTTCCTAAATATGTAGACTTTGATCTAAAATAGCATGGACGCGTATGAGACACTGCACCACAATCCAATATCCAGAAAAGTAACACAGAACCCCGAAAGGTTTGTGCAAGAAAACCACACTCAAACAACACAAAACGAAATATTTACTACATCGCCTTTAGCGAACCAGGCTCTGCTGTAGCCATGGCTTGCTTACAAGGCCAGGTTTTCCAAGGATAGGGGCATGGAGTGAGGCATTTATATTTATTTTTCGATGATTATGTAACAAAACTTACATTTTTGTCGTCATCAAGAGCATTTGTCAGCTTATCTTTGATTTGGGCAGGAGTTAAGGGCATCAGGTCAGCCTATATCGCCCAATTTAAGAATATTTTGCCCACTCGCTAAGCGACGTTCGCCCCTCACAATGGCGGTCGTCATCCATGTATAGTACAATTTGCCGTCGACGCACAGGCATCTGGGAAGTCTCTCCTCCGACATGACGTCAAATGCCGAAGAGGCGCTTGCTGAGAAGTCGCGCAGCCTTCCTTGAGCGGCGAGGTTATGCAAATGAGGCGAAGTGTTTGAGATGATGGCGTTCATTGGTAGATCAGCCCTTGATAGTTTCTGAAACTAGTTTTGATTGGATATGTTATTTTCGTTCGCGACTGAAAGGGAAATAACTACAATTAAAATTGGGACACACTATGAACCGGAAGTAGAAACTACAGTAGAAACACTGGTGAACTTTAGGCCTAACGAACTTTTTGTCGACCCCAACCTGAAGGTAAGACAAGTCTCTGCGAAATGAATTATTGAAAGAGAAGTCAATACGATTTCTCTTATAGTGACCAAGATTAAATAATGACTGTTTTATTTGGCTAGTTCTACTGATGAACAGTCAGAAAACGTAAGGGTTCATGAAGCCTCTAATTATAATTTGTCGGAGTCGCCCAAGACAACAGGTCAGTTGTGTTGATCGACCTTGACCCCAAAAAGCGAAACAATAACACTGTAACTGAAATTTCGTATGTCTTCTCTCCTGCTGAGGCCTCTAGATTTCTAGATCTACTTCAACTTGTGTGCAGTAGGCTATCCTGGGTTATCGTATTCTAGCAGAAAGTCGATGAGGAAATGATAACGTCATGTTTGTGACTCTAGATATATCTACATCTAGATCTAGATCTAGATCTAGATTCTAGACTAGATCTAGAATCTAGATCTGGAATCTAGAAAATAGATGTAGATCTAGATCTAGATATCTAGACGGACTTTAACGAACGGCACTACAAGACCACCGAACTAGACTCTCCTACTATTTTATGTTTGCCTTATTCGTCCATGTGATGTAAGTAGAAGAACATCAATGTCTTTCAAGAATCAAGAAGGTCTGTACAGTGATTGTGCAGTGTGTAGAAGCTTTTATGTCAATGCGCAAAGCAGTTGGTGACCTTGATACATAACTCCAGATTAAAAATTGACAAAAAACAAACAAACCCGAGAGTTAGCTCAAGTTTGAATATCACATCAAAGCAGGTTCTTTTAGAGCCACTTTGCTTATTTGTGCCCCTGCCAGTCAAATCAGCCATATGAAGGAAATTTCAAAACTGAGTATGAAGGAAATTTCAAAACTGAGTTAACATTATTTTTAAAAATTATCACCTTTTCCTTACAATTTAAAACAAGAATGAAGTAAATATGACCATATTTGACAAAAATACAGAACTTTTAATTGTGCTAGGTTAATTTTGCGAGGTGAGGAAACACGAAAAGGAGAAAATGGCCTCTGAAGTTGAGCAACATGTTTCCATAGCAATAGGGGTCTTAGAATTGAGATAGAGACCTGAAATTTAGCAGTTATCTTGGCTATGCCACTATAAAGGTAACATACAGAAGTAGAAAAACTATTCATTGACAGAGAAAAAAACTTATGGAAAAAATAGAATTTTCACTAAAATGCGTCAAATTCAACAAAATATTAGCATTATACTTATACTAGGTACCAGATAATAAAATTTTCAAAGTAGCTGTAAGTCAAATTCTTCTGTTTCATATGAAAGGTCTATGTTGCCTGGGAATTTTGGTGCCATACTTTTACCTCTCAGTCAATGTTTAAGAGAATTGCAGCTGTTTCAATTTAACATAATAATCAAATATTGCTGAAGTCGGTAACTGGCTGCAACGTCATGTTTGACAGATAATAAAAGAGTACCAAGTGCACCAAACATCTCTACATTTACAGAGTACAATCATCATAACAAAGACATGAAGCCTAATTTTTTTTTAGTGACTGTGAAACCATTACAAATCAGTATTGCATTGCCTCAAACACAATGATCTGTCGTTATTTTAAAAAACAACACCGAGCATTGTCTCGGCCGGTGCCGCACCAGCCCTCACGGCGAGCGAGTCGGCTCAATACTGCTAAGCGCTTCTAGTAGTTTCGCGGAAGGATTCATGCAAAATAATTCCAAGCTGATGAATTCACTCTAATAGAAAAAGAATGGTTCTTTCAATTAGTACCTTTTTTAGCTGGTATTTTACACTTTTCGGGTTTAAAATGATCTTTGAATACTTAGACATCTTTTTTCAAGGTTTTTTTAATCCAAGCGCCAAAGGCCAAAAATCGGGAAACCTCGCTCAAAGCTGCATAGTTCTCTGCCAATGAAAAGATGGTATTTAATCATCAATCTTTCTGCAAAGCATTCGAAAGGTGTCAATTTTGAACCGGCCCTCCTCGCAATCCGACCGCGAGGGGCTTCCCTTTCCACGGCGATTCTCCAGCTCATACTCGGATTATAATGCAAACAACGTACACTATTGGAAAGAAAGAAATCTGAACTTTTTCAAAGTGTTCAGCATTTGGTGTTTTATAGCAAAATAGCAAGAAACAGAGATCTGAAGTATCCCCGTTTTATCGAAACCACGCTATCGGAAGGCCGCGAGTCGGCTTACGTGCCATGTTTGCGCTACCTAATTATACGTTTGCAATAGAACCATAAACACACAAGAGCACACACACACAAACACACACACACAAACACTCTCACACACACACGCACATACACACGCATACAAACACACATACACACATGCACATAGACCGCCTTGCTGGCCTCTTTGTAAGGAGTCCGCTTTGTTGAGAGATCTAGAGGAAGGTAATTAATCTTTTAAAAGCACTAAAACACAATAAAAACAAATTTTTAAAGTCAACCAAAGTGTAAAACTGAAAGATCAACAGATGATAACAGCTAGAAGGGCACGCCTACACAGTTAGCTGTTTACGTAAACAAGCTTGAAGTGAGCTAGAAGTTACCGTTTTTACTCCGTTTTACTAATCAGAGTTGTCTACATTTCTGACCATTCTTGCTCAAAAAAGGTCAAAATCTTTTAAAAAGTTGCGAATGAAGAACATTGAAGCAAAGATACTCCACTGTCGAGTATCTTTGGTTGAGGCAAAGGTGGCCATGAGGTAATGGTTCTAAAAATAATCTCACAGCTACACCCTAGCAAGGTCCACATTCCTTTATCTCGTCACCCAAGCTCACAACAAACCACACATGCCTCCAAAATAAATCAAAATAAAATATTTATAGTTGATTTAAGTTGTTTATTTTTATCTTATATGAAGCAGAAGACATCAAACTTTCAATATCCAAAAAACTCAAATTTCATGGAAAGTCACTTTTTTGCCTTTAGAGCCTCGTAGCTGATAGTAGAACAGTGCGTCTTACGACTGATATTGACCTGGGCAGACAGATTTCAATATTCTATATATAATACCGATTCTGAAAATGAAATCAAAGTTTAATCCTGTGCGACAGAAATCTTCGAAAGGATTTTTCGTTCAGCCCTGCTCACCTTTCCCAAATCTGACCTAGATACAAAGACCTTAGCACTATATAACTTCCTTGCCTAGATGGCAAAAAAATTACATCAGAGGGTGTTTAATTTCTGGATGGGGTCTCCAAACCATAGTCCAATCATTCAATTTTGATACAATTTTGCCGGTTACACATAACAATTTGTCATATGAACAGTGTATCATCCAATTTTTGTCCAATCTATCATTTCATGTAACTGGGCCTTTAGGCTCAGGGTCAGGCGCTGCAATATGATGGTCAGTGTTGAAACAGTTTAACATGTATCAGTAAACTTTGGATTCATTTTCGAGCTTTGTGATGGAAAAAGAATGGAAGTTTCTGAGTCAACAGATTATTATGGCTGTTTGCCATCATTAGTCTTTATTTTAGAAGTCTCTAGAGAAAGTGATAATTTATGCGTACAGCTGCCTGAGGGATTTTTTGTTCATAGTGTGGAAAAAGTTTCTTATGGGGACCTTTGCTTGATTACTGGCAGATCTGCAATCTAGGTTTGACATAAAGTCAAACTTTGTCATACTATCCACCATTCCATAGCTAGATTTTGTCAATGTACGAAAAAGTGCCAATATAAACACAGTATTTGTACCATCTGCCAACTGTCTGAGTATACGGTCCTTATCAAACTAATGTAAATGTAAATTTGCCCAAGTATAGAACCAGCAAACTGACCACCGGAGGTACCCACGATGCACAGCACCAACTTACTAGCACTTGATAATCTATCTCCCACTCCACTTTGACCCAGTGGCAAAATATCTGGTGTCGCCAGGTATCAGCCTGATGACTTCAAGGCTGGCTGGCCTCTACAAGGTTTTTATTTTGTGTATACTCAACCTCAAGTCTATGTGACTGTTGTTAGGTGGACCGAAGACTGACAGGGATTGGGTACAAAAAAACCCCTTTAAGTCTACAAGTACACTGTCCCATATAGTCCAGCTTCTGAAACGGCAAAAAATTTTCAATTTGAATAGGCCTATAGCCTATAGGCCTACACATAAAGTTCAGCTGGGTTTGAATTTCTACACAAACACAGGCACACACACACAGACACACTCGCACGCACGTACACACACACACCACACACACACATACACTCACAAACAGGTAGATCACCAACAATAGCAACAATAAGCTTTCCACAGCTCACACAGCAGAATCATTTCCCTAGAAGTTGGGTGGTCAGGGTTATTTAACTATGAATAGAGGAACCCTGTTAATCAAACTTCAGCCCTGGCCCCACTATTCTGCCAACTTTATGCTCGTCCCAAGGATGGAGTAATAATAACGAGGTTTGACTGTACATGTGTCAATCTGTGGCGAGCACTCTCATCTGATCTTTTCCCTCCCCTCCTATGTGTGAATGCATGTTGTTTGTTTTATTGTGTTTATGCTCAGGTTGTTTGTTTTTTGTTTTTGCTTGGGGTTTTTTTTGTGTGTGTGTTTGGGGGGGGGGGGGGTTGTTGGGTTTGGGGGGAAGGGGGGAGTTATTATTCTTTTTCTTTCTTTCGGATGAGGGGTCTATAATGCCTTCAGATGTGTTGTTTATTTCTTTATCTTAATTTTTGTCTCTAATATTATCTTCTCAAAATTTTTCTAGTCTCATCTCCCTCCTGCTTCAACGTCATGGCTGCCAGTGGCATTCTCCGCAAAGGGTTACTGTTGAATGGATGGCTGCGTCAGTCCACGCGTCTAGTAGCCTCTCAGCAGTTGAATGTGAAGTTAAACCCTGAAGGACTTCGGCACTTCTCAAGACTCAATGCCACACCACAGTCACTTTGTCTTCTTCAAGACATCAAGAACCCAGAGTTGATGTCCCTCCTGCCTTTGCGATCCCTACATCAGTCAAGAGCTGTTCAAGAGGCTGCAAAAAAACCTATTGAAGCTTCAAATACAACCAAGGCTGCTGGTGATGTTGCTGCTTCTGGGGCTTCAGGATCCTCCACTGCCAAAAAAGTGTCATCATCTTTCTTGAAAAGTAGCAGTAAGAACTTACATAAATCTGTTCGTTTGCCTCTGGTTCAAGAGGGAGGATTTTCATTCTTCAGTGTTCGCAGTTTGTTTTCTACACCTTACCCTTTCATGGTTTATGGTCTTGGTGGTCTTATTCCTTTTGTGGCTGCTCCGTATTACATGCAGTACACAGGACTATATCATCCAGGAATTGCATATGCACAGTTAGTGTATGGAGCAACAATACTTTCTTTTCTCGGCGGGGTTGCCTGGGGAGAAAATCTGCCGCAATCAAAAGCTTCAATGGAGTCTTTAGGGTACAGCATATCCCTACCTTTGATAGGATGGGGTAGTGTATTGGTGCACCCAAATCCAGCTAGTTTTTTAATTTTAATGTCTGGGATAGCATTTGCTGGGTACATGGATACTCAGAATAAGACTTACCCCAAATGGTTCAAAAATTTACGTTTTCTACTCAGTTCTGTTGTGTTTCTGTGTTTGTTTTCCACGTTATTATTTAGATTCACGAAGCCTATGGAGAGTGTGAGTAAAAAAGACCAACAAAAATAATTAAGTCTTTTATAGCTATTTTCTTAAAAACTGTTTGTCTTTATCAGTTTTTTCTGAAATAGAAATTGGTGTCTGTGGTGTTGCAGCTAGGGGCTTCACTGTCGCTCGCAGGAAACTTGAGTTCAATTCCAGAATAGGGAGGATTTTCTATTTCATATCTTGGTCTTTCTGCTGGAATGCTTTGTACCTGACAGGTAGGGTTGGAAGCATGCCTTTTAAATTATATAAATGTGAGGCAGCATGGTGGAATCAGGCTCTCGTCAATTTTTGGGCATGTTGAGATATTGGTATCATGTTAAAGCTTGTTCAATTGTCTTTATTTGTATGAAAATAATATCCATTTATCTTGAATATAATAATAAGTCGAGATATTTGCGAATGAAGGAGGTGGGGGGCACCTATTCCTATTTTCAGAGGTAAAATTATAAAGAAAATGACCGCCAAAGATTAGTTATTTCCCTAGCTTAACTTGATAACTGAACATTTATATTTTTTGTGTATTTAATCAACGTTTTTCAGAAAAATCCACACAGAAATGAGTTCTTTATTGGGCATAAAAGGTGTTGAGCCAAAAAACAAAAATTTAACAAAAATTCACAAACCTGCGGAAAAATGCAGGTTTCTTCATTTTGATTATTTTGACGAGAGCCTGATTCCACCACGCTGCCTCATAAATTGTGTCGATGGAGGAATAAAATCACTTACATTTTTTAAAATAGGTCATGTTGCATTGGCTGCTTTTAATCAGGGCATTGAGTCTTGATCTTTTCCTGTTCTTAAAACTGGCTTTAAAATAGGTTTTTGATTATTTTAGTAACAAATCATATCGTAGAATGACCCCTGGTGATTTGAAAGTGCCGCTAGTTGATCTGAGAACCAACTGCAATGGCTGCCAATGAAGACCAAACATTATTAAAACATGGAGAGGTCATAAACTTGAGAAGCAACTATTTGATCAGATAGACTTTGATTAAGCTATGAAATATGGTGGTGATGATTGTGCTGTGTGATGTTTTAAAACTTGATTGTAAATTCTGTATGATGTGTGTAACCATGTTGTATGCTGATGATGTTTAATTTCATTGATAATGTAATGAGTAATGATAGTGTGCACCTGTAGACAGTGACTCGAGGCATATTATGTTCTCAAACTTATTTTCCCATGACAGAAGACACAGTTAATAGTACATGAACCTTAAGTTGGAGAAGAGAGATGAATTGGGTTTTCCTAAGCAAATATCCTTAACATCCAACATGTCATAGTTTCATAGTTTAATATGCAGTTGTGCTCTTATTTGTTAATAATTCAAGAGGACTGAGCACTGAAATTTGGGTCTTTTCCAGATTTTGTTGGTCTTGGATCATCTTTGGATTCCAAATTTTGTTTTCTTCTGTATTGTCATATAGGCCCTGTATTATGGTGACCAGTTTCAGATGTGTATGTAATTTAAATCAATTTTGTTGCAGTTGGTCCTTCATATAAAAATCAGTATCTTATTAATCTTAATACAGAAGTCAGAACAAACATAGGGGAAAATAAAGGCTGGGGGGGGGTAATTTTGTGGTCATTGTCAATTTATTGACAAGTTTTAAAATTGCATAAGCTATCCTCAGATGACGACCCTTGTAGCATTCAGTATCAAATTCCAAAGTCAGTATTGTCCTCATTTTGTAAAAAATGGGTAAAACCAGAAATATTTTAAACTGAAGGGCAAATAATTAAAGACTCTTATGTGTGAACAACTTTGTTTTGCATGATTTCGGCCAATATAAGTAAATATATTAAAGTCTGTAGCTCTGCTTATCTGTTTTGTCTACCGTAAAGTCGTTAAGGAGGACAAATGTCATAATGGTGAATTGCTATGATACTGCATGTAGTGCGAGTTTGTGACATATTTTGACTTTTGAAATTTCTCTTGTTTTTAATGGTTTATTGTTGTGCATGTAGGCCTACAAGTTTAAAAGATTTTTAGTATCATTTGGCCACATAGAAAAATCCTTACTTTAGGACTTTTTTTGTCACAAGTCATCCTTACTTTAGGACTTTTTTTGTCACAAGTCATCCTTACTTTAGGACCTTTTTTTTGTCACAAGTCAACTGCAGATATTCTGAATAAGAGAGAATTCATGTTTCACTTTGTGTGGTGTTTGACTGTAAACTTCATAAAGTGATTTCTTTCACAAATAGATCTGATGTTGTGCAACTCTGGTTTCGTTTTTTTTTCATTGGTGAGGCATTGTGATGAAATCAGGCACTCGTCAAAATAATGATATGGAAGATATCTGCATTTTTTCTGCCTGTTTGGCAGCTTTCGTCGAATTTTTTTTTTTTGGCCTCCACACCTTTTATGTAAATTTAGAAACACATTTGTGAGGCAGCGTGGTGGAATCAGGCTCTCGTCAATTTTTGGGCATGTAGAGTTATTAGTATCATCTTAAAGCTTTTTAACTTGTCTTTATTTAGAGGGAAAAAATATCAATTTATCTAGAATACAAGTCGGGATACTTGCGAATGAAGGAGGTGGGGGTCACTAGTTTTCAGAGGTAAAATTAATAAGAAAATGGCCGTCAAAGATTAGTTATTTCCTTATTTTAAGAGTCCGTGGTAACTGAAAATTTTCATTTTTTGTGCCTTTAATAAACGTTTTTCAGAAAAATCCTCACAGAAATGAGTTCTTTAATGGGCATGAAAGGTGATGAGCCAAAAAACACAAAATTTATAAAAATACACAAAGCTGCGGAAAAATGCTAGTTTCTTCACTTTGATTATTTTGACAAGAGCCTGATTCCACCATGCTGCCTCACATTTATGAGTGGATTTCATTGAAAAAAGTTGACTAAAAGAACAAAAAATGTAAATTTTCAGTTTACAAGTACTTTCAAACTTAGGAAAATTTTCTCGCTAATTTTACCTCTGAGACCAGGCGACACCCCCCCACACTTATTCAAGATAGATTGGTCTTTTTTTAATCCAAAGACAGGCAAACTAGCAAGCATTAAGATGATAACAACAACCTCACATGCCAAAAGTCTGGCGAGCGCCTGATTCCACCGTGTCGTGACACATTATATATTTTTTTTTTCAAATATCAACCACATAATATGTGACAAAGAAGTAGCCTACTTTAGGGGGTTCTCGTGGCCTAGAGGTTAAGGTCTTCACCTCTCATTCAACAGGTCCCAGGTTCGAATCAGGATATTGACGGAAAATTTTCTGCTCTAAAATTTTCTCGTTTCACATCCTTTCCTGCTCTCAAACAATATTCTGTTGTCTACTTTTGTCTCCACACTCTGCCCCCATCCCCTCACCTTTTTACCCCCCTACTCTGGGCTCCTGAATCTTTCTGCAGCCTATCTACTGCTTCTCCTTGGCTCCTTCTTACTGCTGTCTTTCAGCTTCACCCCTGATCTTATGGTAGGAAAGATCTACACCTAGCCTTCTCAGACGAGGGTGAAAAATCTTGGAGGTCTCGTGTGCAAGTTGGGCACGTTAAAGATCCCTTGGTGGTTCAAAATCGATAAGAGTAGGCTTCGGCTTCCACCCAGGCAAAATTCAAAATTTTGTAACAACTGAAAATGTTAAATGTGTCCTTCGCGCTCATGTGACCTAATGCAGTTGCGAGCACTGTAGAACACTTTCCCAAAAAAAAGTTCTTCAGTGTTAAATCCGAATTTCCAGGCAAGACAGAGACTTCAAATAATAATTCAGATAATATTAGTAATATAATAATAACTTCAGGAATGCAAGATAATGAGTAGGCTCACTACATTAGGGGACTCATGTAAGGGTTTCTCTTTGTGGTCACACATGTTTACTAAGTTTATGTTTTTCAGTTCAGACAAAAAAATTCTTGAAATGGCTTTAATATTCACATTTTAGTTGCTAGTTTCAAAGTTTCTGTTATTTCTCCAATGCTGTTATTTGTGTTACCGTCCTTTTACGTTGATGAAGAAATATTGTAGATCTCATCTTTTAATGTGGACATCTTTTTGTTGTCCAAGCTCATTGTGACAGTTTCAATCTGATGACTGTTTTCTTTGAGAAGATTTGTATAGATTAAAACTCGACATCAAGTCTCCACAACGTTTGAGTGTGTAGTAGTGGATTTTGTGACTGGCTAAAACCTGTTTGAAACAGTTCATAAAAAAAAAATCCAAGACCACATTTTTTTTTTAGAAGAGATGGAAAACTCCTTCTTGTTGGGTCTTATGAGTCAGTCATTTAAATCCATTACAATGTCATTGGCACACGAAGGTGAGAAAGATCTGTTTTCCTTATTCTGATTGTGTTTGTTTTAATCTGTACATTGTATTTGTTTTTTTCTAATCAAATACACACCTAGTCATTGTATTGTTTTTTTCCCCTGATAAAATACACACCTAGTATTCTCAAATGCCTCACTGTAAATTAAATTGCCTCAGCATAAGATAGAGTGCCACATTTCAATTTTATATCTGATATTGTTTTAAAGTTCAAATGTCGCATTACAACTTGAAATGTCGGTTTCTAAATGCTTCTTTGGTGAGGACACCATATTGAAACTTTTCACAAGCACAAGAGTAAATCTAGAGATCCAGTCCCTTGAAAAATTGCCACTGCCAGCCCAATATTAAAAAATTAGTCAAGAAGACAGAATGTCTATATATGAATAACAAAAGGGAGAAGGGGATTTTTTGGAGCTTTTACACTTACCCCAGGCAAAGATAGAGATAGCCTTCAAGGGCATGCAGGTCAGTTTGCCTGCATGCTTTGCAAGGGAAGCTGTTTTCATGTAGATTTTCAGAGTACTAAACTTTTTTCTACTTTAAGTTTAAAATGGAATGTGCTCCAGAAAGTTCTGTCTCTTTAGATTCTCATTTAAACAATGTTTTGTGTTATCACTGTGTTCAGCATATTCATGGAAAATGGTGAAAGATTTGAATAGGGTAGAATAATCACTCGTTGGCAACTAAGAGGCATATTATGTAACAATTGCCTCAAAATTAGGACATTGAAAAAATTCCTTAGGCTTTTTTCATTTTACATGCAACTTTTTTGTTATTTGGTAAGATAATTAACTTCTACAATGCAAAAGTTTTGTCACAAGAATACTGCATATTCCGACTCTTTTTTTCAGTAGTTTATATCTTTTATGCTTTATCAGAAAAGTAGCAAATTTTAAGGGGAAGGGTTATTTTTTTTAAATACCCCCAAAATACTATGAAGACTACGCTTGTAAAAATGTCGCAGTATGGTATACATAAATGAAAGACTCCATAATGGAAGCTGTAGAAGAAAATATCCCCCCGAAAGCTAAATGAGCAAATAAAAAATGGATGATCCAGGACATATTAACACTAATGGAAGAGAGATGACAGGCTAAATCAAATGTGGAAAAGTACAACATCTTAACCATAAAGAAAATAAAGAAAAAATGCAACGAAGTAAAAGAAATATGGATAAATAGTAAATGATCAACAAATACAGAAGAACCCAAACAAAGACAGCAAATACGTGCATTCCAAAATCAAAGAAGTAAGTGGGATAAAAGAATGAAAGGAGGAGATATTGGGGATGTCTTAAACTGATGATCAGGATACATAGAAGAACTTTTCAAAGATAATAGAGGAGAAAAACTGATAATAAAGAATGAAATAAATGGACCACCAATACTGAAAGCAGAAGTACAAGCTGCCATTAGGAAAATGAAACAAGGAAAGCCACAGGGCCAGATAATATGCCAGTTGAAGTGATTGTCGCGCTTGAAGAACTAGGCAATGAAATAACAACAATGCTCCTAAATGCTCTTTATGACAGAGGTGAGATCCCAGAAGATATCATGAAGTCAGTTTTTATAGGTTTACCTGAAACACCAGGTGCCACTGAGTGTGATATATGCATAGAACATTTAGCCTTATGAGTCATTTTACAAAAATATTGCTGCGAGTAATAATGGTGTAAGAGTATAAGATCAGAGATATCTAAAACGCAATTCGGCTTTGTTGCTGACAAGGACACCAGAAATGCTATTCATCATGACAATGAAAGGATGTTTTGAAGCACAGAAAGATCTGTATTTATGCTTCGTAGATTATTCAAAGGCGTTCGATACAGTTAGAAATGATGAGCTATTTAAAATACTGGAAAAACTAGACATAGATAAAAAAAGATCTAAGACTTATCAGGAATTTGTACTGAGACCAAAACGCTGCTGTAAGAATTAATGGAGATTACAGTCAGTGATTGTAAGCAGATAAGGAGAGGAGTGAGGCAATGATGTGTTATGTCACCAGACCTCTTTAACATGTACAGTGAAACAGTCCTTCGAAACATAGAAGAATTTCCATGTTCTCAAAGTAAATGTCCAAAATATTAAAAACATCAGATATGCGGATGTCACAGTTTTAATAGCAGGCTCAGAAAAGGACCTTCAATTGCTTCTAGATACTGTTGTAACTTATGTAACAGAAAGTGAACATAAAGGATTAGTGTTGAATGTAAAGAAAACAGAATGCGTGGTAATATCCAAAAAAGCAGCAAATCCCAGTTGTAATCTCATTAGCAAAGGTGAAAAGATTAGACAAGTCCAACAGTTTAAATATCTAGGATATATGATAACATCTGATGTCAAATGTTCCACAGAAATAAAACGGAGAATTACAATGGCTAAGGCTGGTTTCAATAAAATGAGCCCAATCCTGAAAAACAGAAACACCTCAATGACTACCAAAATGAAAGTTCTGAAATATGCTATGTATAGTCAACCCTTGTGTATGGCTGTGAATGCTGGACAATCACTAAAGACAGTGAAAATAAAATAGAAGCAACAGAAATGAGATTTCTTAGGAGACTGCTATACGTATCGTGGAAGGAAAATAAATCGAATTAGCTTAAAAACAATGAGGAAACGACAAATAATGCAGTTTTTGGGACACCTGAATAGACATAATAAGGGTCTTGAGAATCTAGCTCTCACTGGCAAAATTGAAGGCAAGTAAGGCAGGGTTAGCCCAGAGCATCCTGGGGAACCTGAACAAGTGGGTGACAGGGAAAGATCAGGGAAACATAGTTTTTTTAAAGAGCATCCGAGCAAAGGAATGAATGGAGAGCCATGATCGTCGATGTCTGTCGCTGATCTGGCACTGGATGATGATGATGATGAGGACGATGGTATACAGACAGAATGTAAAATTTGAACCCTGTTTGTCAAAAATTTAGGAGTCATATTTTTAGAGATAAAATCTAAAGAAATTAAACTACATGTAGCCTATATATATGAAATCTGTAAAAACAGTGCGAAAAAAAGCAACCTCTATAATATTTCTCTCAGTTACCCAGGAATAATGATTTTTACCCTTTTAAATCCCCCGAATTACCTTTAATTACACCAAAGACAGTTATAACACAAAATGTTGGATGGAAAATCTAAAAAAGAGCATCACTTCAGTAGCATCTCCCTTTGAACTGCAGCCTTCCTTTATTTTTGCATCACGTCCCCTTCCTTGTTGTGCGGTGTTACATTTGAAGTTGTTATTCAGCATTTGACTAGTGGTTTTGTTACATTTAAAGTTTATTGTTCGCATTTGAACATTCTATTTTTATATTTGAGGTTGCTACATATGGCTCTTGAAATTGCAATGTGGCATTTGAAGTGATAATGGGGCAATTGAAGCTACAATATATGAGGCGTCACAGTGAAATCAGGCGCTCGTCAAAATAATGAAATCAAAGATACTGGCATCTTTCTGGCCTTTGGGCAATTTTGTTCTACTTTCTTTTTTTGGCTTAACACCTTTTAAGTCATTTAAAAGCACTATTCCGTGTTGATTTGACTGAAAAACGATGATTAAAGCTAAAAGCACAAAAACGATAAATTTTCAGTTTCCAAGGACTCTCAAGCTATACTATAGGAATTACCAAACTTTGGCAGCCATTTTCTCGCTAGTTATATCCTGAAAGCAGGTGACCCTTACCTCCTTCAACAGTATTTCTCCATTTCTATTCAACATACCTTGATATTTATTTCACCAAAAGCAAGGCTAATAAACTGGCTTTAAGATGATATCAATAACCCTATATGTCCAAAAATTGACGAGTGCCTGATTCCACCACATCGTGACACATATGACATTTGAAAATATTAGGTGTCAATTTGGTTTGTAAAAAACTGTACTGAAATCTAAGGGTAAACAGTGATTTGAAGTTAAAATCTTTAAACATTTGGAAGAAAAAAAACCCCTTATGATTTAAGTTATGTTTATTATGGAATGAATATATAGGCTACATTCACATTTTCTTCAGTACGTTAATCTTTATATATGTCTTAGGTATCGCATGGTCTGGTGTGAAGAACACAATGAAAACTCAATGGCAAATCATATCGGGACTGGCTGCCATGCTTATTACTGTAGCAGCAGGTGGTACGGCCTATTTATTGTCGAAGAAAGGAGTATCACCTCCTGAAGGTAGATATTTATTTAAGGAGGGTGCTGCATTGACTAGCTCCAAGAACACAGATAAACCTTCTGGTGGTAATTCAGTCGACGATGGAGAGCAGGGGAAAAATTACCCAAGAAAGCGAACATTTTAGGAGTGTTTTTGGAATTCAAAGACAAAGATGAAACTGACAGCTGCTTTCTTAGACTTTCTACAACATGGACTATGATATCGGCAATGGAATAGTTAATGCATTCCGTTCTAGCGCATTAAAGATGGAGATACACATGACATGTAATTCAAATCTCATGGTTTTAAACTGCAGCTTTTTTTTCAGAAGCAGTATGCCATGTTATTATCTTATTGTCTATAGTAAAGAACAAAAACCAAACCTTTTGGGAAATTACCTTCTCTGGAAAGCTACTCTGTGATTTGAAGTTTTTCTAGATTCTGAAAGTAAACAATTTGTGCTCTCATTTTCTGGGGTTGAACTCAATATTTTTCCCATAAATGGACTTTTACTGCAGGCTCTAGTTCATTTTGCTTTTGAAGTTAGCATTGTAAAATGTCAAAAGTGGGATGATGTTCGACTGTGCTGTAAAGTATGGCCATGAAAAAAGGATATAGCGTATTAATGCGTGGGGTAGCCTTTTACTGTTTGTAAATGAAATTGTTATTTTAAATTGTTATGAACTTTCACAAAGAGTAGTATGCAGTTTTGTATTTTCCCATGCACTTTCTACTACTATACTATGAAGTGATGGAACAGATGCATCCAAAAAGGTATCTGCTGAGCCTATGGTAATAAAGTTGCCATTGACTTTTTGCCTTTATCAGATTGTGCGATACTTAAGACTAATTTCTATGACCATTATTAGCTACTGTGTAATTTGATGATATTAGAATAGAAGTGATTGTTCTACCCTCTGAAGTTTTAAAATCTTTTAATGGTTTGTGTTCAGTTATTAAGAATGACAACTATTTTTTCAAAAACATTTTATTTCCTTCCTCTCCTGCAACAGGGGGTGAGGGAAAAGGATCATCTGGGAAGGGAGAAAGTCGATGGCAGTATTATCTGTATGGCGGATTAGCAATTTCTACATTGGTAGGGCTATATCGAATGCGAAATCAATCAAGACATGAAATGCTCACTGCTATCAAGGAAAATAAACTACAGTCAACAATGCAGCCCCCAGAGCAGGTGAAAATGGATGAGAAGCTCCCTCCTGCTCCTGCTGGCCGGGAGGAGAAAGCCTCTGGCAGCTCTAATGTTAAGGTAGAGAAGACAGTTAATGCGGCACTCGGGCAAGCTGGAGGAGATGTAAGCCACTGTAAGCCTTCCTCTCCCTCTGTCAGAATCCACTCTGATGGTGCAAAACCGTGCAGCACACCTTTGAATAAGAGGAAGTATCCACCAAAGTACAAGTCCGTGAAGGAATCTAGTTGTCTGAAGGTTGTGCGTGGGACATGTGATTGTGACACCCCTGATCCATGTGGTAGTCCCAAAAGAAAGTAAATCTTGGAAAAATATGGATTTATGGTAAGGTCATCACCTTTGCTGAGATGAAATTAAAATATGAACGTAATGAGGAACAAAACCTTCTGACAAATTTCCTGTAAAACCAATGTGTCCTGCAAACAAGAGAGATAGGATGAGGCTTCAGATACTGACTGTATGAGCAGTGAGGGTCCCTCTCTGAAGTACAATTACTTAAAACTTTAAAAGTATTTATGTAGCCACTAGAAGTAGAAGAATACAATAGATGTTAAATTTATTTTTTCACTACATGCTGGTTATGTCAAAAGTGTTGCCATCACAATAAATTGAATGCATTTTGATGTTAGCGTTCCTTCTTGTTTTTGTTCTATAATCTAATATAATACCCGTTTCTTTCTTTCTTTTTTTTTTTTTAGATTGTTTTGAAGTTCAGGGGGTTTTTTGCACTTCTTTTCAAACAGAATATTGTTGTGGTCGTATAACATTTCAGAGTCAGGACTTCTACTCTAGAAAGTATCTCTACACGTAATACTAGAAATAGTAAAATGCACACTGGCGTCTTGGGTAGCCGTTATGCTTTTCCCTGTCGCAGGATGTTAGTTATGAGAGAATTCCTGAATGGGGAAGTTTTTAATTCAAACTTTTCCAACTGTCAGCTGGGATGCTGTATCATCTTACTCTGCAGGGATTGGCCATGGAAGATAGGATTGAAGCAGCAGCATTCCTCCTACATGATTTAAATTGTGTCCATCTGAGCATAGAAAACAATTATACATTTGTTAATGAGAAGTACATCATGTATGTAGTAGTAGCAGGGACTGCACTATTCAGAACGGACAACATTGTTCACCCTGTACATGTACTTGTCTGTATTTTATGTCGTGTGATGATGCCGCATTGGGATAAATAAGGGAATGCTTGCCAGAAAATGCTGGTTGTAGAAATTACATGGAGACGATTAATGCTCTGCACTCTCGTGTTGCATTGTGTCGCTTCAGATGTTAAATGTTCTTTTGCTACTTCGCTTCGTCTTTATCTTTTATCTTGACTCCTACTTTCCACTGGCTGAAGTCTTTAGAGTTCTGTACCTAGGTTTTTAAGCTGCTCTCTGCTGAGGTTGTACCTCTTACACAGCTGCCCTTGTACTGGTATTTGTTCGTTAGTAAACAAATATTCAACATAGCCAGGTTATGTGGTGGGACCTATGAATTTGGCATCCATCTTCGACAGGACTGTACTAAGTGGGTGGTGAACTTTGCAAAAATACTTTACAACTACATCTTGGGTTCAAGCTCAAGAAAGCCCCATTTGGGATTCGAACCCAGGTCATCTACATCATATTCCAGCATGAATGATACCAACTGAAAGAATGACGCACTTAGGAGTAACAACAGATATTCCCTGTCAGTTTAACTTTGAAAGACAGCAGTTAAGGACACACCTGTGAAATTGTCTGGATTGGACTGAGAAGCATTATGAACAGATACATGATATTATACTATAATGTGTATTATGTGTGTGTGTGAGTGTCCTTGCACAAGATATGGAACAAAGTTCAGTATATCATCAAATCTGGTTATTCATGCAGCTTTCTAAGTTTCTTCCATTCCCTGACAAGACCAATACAAAAGGACCTTTTGTTAGTTTAGTGTTATATAAATTGGATAGACTACATTGTGTTGGAAGAGGCAAATAATTTAAAACCTGCGGCAATTAAAGCTGTCATATATATATCTTTCATGTTGCCTTGTAAGAAATGTGTTTCAGTACAAAAAGAGCTACAGTTTTTAACTCACACAGAGATTTTCAGGCCCAGAATTTTTTTCTTAACCCTATCTGTACGCCAGGGGTCATTTTGTACCCCAGGGGTTGTATTCTTCACATATAATTACTAAAAAACTAAAGCATGATCATGTGACTCCTATTTTAAAAGCATTGCACTGGCTCCCGGTGAAAGAGCGTATCATATATAAAATCTGTTTAACTTGCTACAAGTGCTTAAATGATTTATCACCGGACTATCTAAAACAGTTTTTAACACCCTATGTGCCTCCTAGAACGCTCAGATCATCAAGTGACAAAACAACCCTTGTTAAGCCTAAAATAAATTACAAATCATATGGCCAACGCTCTTTTTCATATTTTGCCCCACTTGTTTGGAATAGGCTTCCAAAAACTATCCGAGAAGCAGAAAATCCAGAAATTTTTAAGAAGAAACTAAAAGCATTTCTATTTTCATCATATTTCGATTAGACAAAATCCATCCAAGCTATAGATTGTTGTGAGTTTGTATGTGCGTATGTGCATACGTACGTATGTGTATATGTATGTGCGTATGTTGCGTGGGTGAATGAATATGTGTTTGCACGAGTATGTAACACTATGTACCTTTAAAATTGATTTGTAAATCCATAATATGTATCACGTTAAGCGCATAGAGCATTGCATAAGTGGATATGCGCTATATAAATGCAATCCATTATTCATTATTATTATTATATTAGAATACTTCCAGTGTGAAGATCTCTGAAACTTTCAGTATTTCTTAAAAAATCATTTTGGCAGACTGCTATGCAAAGGGTACGGATAGTTTTAATGAGTAAATTTCCTCTTGGGAAAGAGGGGGCAACTCCAGTCGTATGGATACGATAGTCAAACATGACATATGGATAGGGCTAAAATATATTCTAGGTATTTAAAACACATACATGGCGAAATTGCTGGCAATATTTCTGTGCCTTGCCAATTTCGCAATGTGCTTGTTGGAGTCGGACTGTGTTTGTCAAGTAACACATGTACCTGTGGAACAACTTTTAGATTAGAGACCAGTGCAGAGCACATATCATCCAGGAAGGTGTTTGAAAAGCACCACTAGGGGGTCCGACTTTCTTTCTTTCCATATTGATTCTGTCTATCTTTAGTACTTTTAGGCTAAAACAGCACCTGCACATGGATGGCTGGTGCCTCTATAAACAAATTATTGATGATGGTCTCACTACTTATAGTTTTACCAGCGCTAAATGGCAATTGTTGTAACAATGTGCTACCCTTTTAATCACAATGGAATGTTAACAACCAAATTGTAATCCAACTGTTCCTATAGGTAGCCTTTTGTGTGCCAAACCTTTTTTACATGACATATTTATAATATTGTAAATACATTGAGAGAATGAAAAATCACTGTCCAGCTTGATTTTTTATTTTATGCTGTCCTGATATTCATGAAGGCAGTCTCTCACTCTCAGACATGAGGAATGCATAATTGATCACTATGTCTTTACTCTGTACGAAAAAAATAAATAGGGAGGCCTAGGCATGTTTTAGTAGCGAAAATCATTTACACACCACATAAAAACACCTGGATAATTGTCAAGATAAAGATTTAATGCCCTGAGGGTACATCAACGAGCTATAACTTTGAAAGTGTAACAGTAACAGAAATGTGATTTTATTAGTTTAAATATTGTACTATTACTGTAACAAATTTCAAGAAAAATAATGGCACAGCATGAAGAATTGTATGCAAACATTGTAATTATAGACATCAATGTAACCAGCACTACAAGTTATTTAAGCTAAATGTACATGCATGTAGGCATAATAATATTATTTTTCCTAAGATGCAAACAATCAACAAACCTAAAGATGCACATACAGTGGTCGACAGTCTCAAACACCAGTCAGTCCTCTCTCTGAATTTGTTGAAAATAACCATGAAAATCAAATCATGACTGGCAGAAAAAGCTAGAAGTTTCAATGGCATGCTGTCGCTGATCAGCTGCAAAGGAAGAGATGAATGCAGAATAAATTGAAGACTGTTCCTGCCTTTTTTCCTGCACAGATCTCTTCTGATGCTCAAAGCCAAAGAGCATGATCTCTACACTACACACCTCATCAAAATTGATAAATATTTAGTTTTGTGAATTTTCTGAAGCATTTGTTAATAACTCTCCAGGGTATCTTCATCTTATAATAATATTTGAATAATAATACTATAGGTAATGCAATTTTGGACTTTTGTTTAGATACTCCACATTAGTAGATTAGAATTAGTAGAGGGTGTCAAGTGTCAGTGTCACTGGTGGGTCCTACTTCTTTTGTTTCTCTCTCTTACTTCTATCTGTCTTACTCTTACTTTCCCCCTCAGCATGAAATGACTTTTATAGCGTTGTCTGTCCGTCTCACTTCCTCCCAGCACTAAATGACCATTTCATTATAGTGTTGATGTGCTTCTCTTTACTCAAAACTCCACGTCCTCCTAGAGCTAACAATACATTCAACTGCATGTAAAGCCACACACTTCAGCTGCCACTTGCCAGATGTTCACATGTTAATGTGAATTACGTTGGCCACAGAACTAAACTAAAAATCATGAATGTAGCCTCATCTGGTACCCTGTGAGTGTACAGTATGAGATAGCTAAGGATGCTTATGCCAGTATCGGTCAAGTGATAATCCTTTCTATACGACGCATTTTACATTTGCAGCAATAAAAGATGTGGAAAATTGAGCAATTCCATGACATGCTAGATCAATATCGCATTGAAGACCATCATGAAAAGAGCAAAATAAATAATAGGAAGTGGAAGTCTATTAATTTGTTTCATTGTATGGACATGACTTTTTGTTTTCTTTGTCGTTATTTTACATAAGGGTTGAACATTTTGCAAATTCCACCCAAAAAAGTTTAAAACTATTGAACTGTTGCAATAGAATTTTTAAAAACAAGATGGTACAAGGAAATCTGATCAGAAGCTTTCCAATATATGACACTTCAGGCTCCTCATTTGACAACTTGTGATGACTGTGAGTGCATGAGAACATAGATGATTCCCACTGATTAAAACATCTTTGTTTTGATCCAGTCTGTCAGGGCCGACCCTACTGAGAAGGATACATGGCATCATAATCATAATAAGAAAATAAGAAAAAGAAAGAGAAACTTGATAAAAAGGTGAAACTGAAATTATTTCTTGAGCTTCCTCCATGTGTAGGAGTGAAGAGCTTAATGATTATACACCACAACAGCCAGATCACACAGAGATCGGCGAGGGAAAAAGCATTGTCATTGACCATAACCAGTCCAATTATACTGCTACAACTTGTGTTCGGACAACACTGATGCAACAGTAGACGGAGTGGATTTGGGGGCACGGCTTCATTGGTACCGGTAGTTCAAATAGAGTATAGTATACCACACTGGGGCAGAATTGAGAAACACAAGAAGCCAAGTCTTGAGTGGTGAAACAATCAGCAAAAGTAAATCTAGACACCAAAGAATGCCTTGAAATCTGACACCAAAGGAAAAGGTAAAAGCACAAAAGATGATATTTTAAAGGTAAGGCACACAGTCCTCCCACATACCTTCCAGACCTGAGGAAAAACTCCCCACTAAAAATAGAAATTCAAACCACAAACATCCACAACTTTATCAAGTCCTTGTGTGACACCAGTTATTAACATGTGTACTGAAGAAGGTAAGCATGAAGGACATGGGAGCAGCCAATAGTTGAGTACAGTGGAATCCAGTTATAACGAGAGGGAGGGGACCGGAGCAAAATGTCTGTTATACTATAGCAGGATTCTTGCTATAAGGGATCCAGTAATAGATTCAAGGGAAACTGTAAAGTAGGCCTAATCTATGAGTTTGGTGTTCTGTTTATTTCCTTTTGCTATCTCCCCTGATGATACTTTTGTTTCAACATGACCTCTAGGTCTTACTTGATGAAAAATCAAATCAGGTTTCTTTCTCTAGCGCTAGATCTAACGATGTTGACTGACAGCTCGGCATTGGCGATCAGAAAGAAAAGGCTCTCCGCTAACTCACCCGCTGTTTTCCCCCACCCCACCAAACCCTGTGGTGCATTCTGTCAGCTTGCACACGTCACACATTCCCTCCATCCATCACATTGCTGTGACCTCTCCATTCCGCATCGGAGAAGTGAGAGACATGGTAGGACTTGATTATCTAAACTAGGCTTACGCTGGCCTATCACGTGATGCGTTCTGTTTGTCTGCGCATGCCACACCCTCCCTACTCAGTTGCTCTGGCCTTCATTGTTGACACATGTGGGCTCTCCCATTCTTTGTTTCGCTAGATCACCAACTGGTTTCTCAACTGGCGAGGTTTTACATTATGTATAATTGACCCATGCACTGCGCACAGCAGCAGCAATATCCCGCTATAACCGACTCGCGTGTTTGTCTGATTGCGCTATAGCAGTATTTTATTTACAAAGGTAAAGAAGAGAAAAAAACGGGGTTTTAGAATAGTGCCTTTATAACCGACTTCTCGTTTTTTCCGGACTCGTTATAAGTGGACTCCACTGTACAGCATATGTAGCAAAAACTTGTGCAATAAATATAAACCTACTTCTTTAGAAAGATGACAAAGAATAATAGGCCTACCGTTCATATAAACTAATATTAATATTATGATCACTTCAAAAATTACGCTATAGTTTGTAGTATTTCAGCTCTTTAAAAAAATGAAGACATTCATTAATGGCGATAATGGATTGTTCTTACCCTAAGCAACTTAAAAAAACTGTCAAGGACAGCAGTGGATTAGCCTTGACCAAACCCTTCCGATTTACGATCAGACACTTTAGATTTTAGACAGATATAATTCTTCCATGACTTCCACCTGAGCCCAAGTTGACTGTCGACAGGATTAGAATACAAAAACTGATCAATACTGATGAAAGGAGAGTGAAGAAATGATAGGCAGCACATTGGCATTTCAGATTCTTGACACTTTGCCGCCTCATCTCACCAATTGGCGATGTTTACCACCCAGTTTCTTAGGATTTTCCCCAAAATGTGATGGCAAAGTGTTAAGAAGATGTTTAGTTACATCAAAGAGTCTACATAACAAGAGGGGCCACTTCTCTCTTTGAGCCAATTAAAAAAGTGTCCTCAAAATTCGGTGGCGCCCTCTTCACAAAAGCGCACCTTTTGCGAACAGAGTTACCCTACTCGAGTTCAAAAAATCAAAGTAAAACTAGCAAGTTTTCGAATAAATTTCAGAGGAACGCTTTTTTAAAATGGTTACGCAGACAAAAAACCTCTTCCGGAGGAAAGGATGATTGTTTTCTTTGTTTAATTTGACTTTAGAATGAAAGGCGAGAGGTCATTAAAATTTTAAAAAACTAAAACTCCACACTGAACGAACTCGAACTGCTGATGAACAGCAGTCGATCTGCCCACGCAAGGAAGTGCTATTCCTATTCTTCTTCTGGAAAAACGAAAGAGAGCTTCAAAACAGACTGCAGCGCCATCTGAAGCAAAGAGCGAACTTCCTGCGGACACTTTTTTGGCTGAGTGGCCCATCTTGTTATGTACTATCTTTGGTTACATTTATATATGAAACAAAAGCGGCCAATTCACTGCAACCAACAAGCAGCCTGCCCACAATGAATGAAATTTATTTTTGCACATTGAAAATTGCGTCACACTAAGACCTTGAACTTGAGCATAAACTGAGACAGAATGTTGAAAGCACAGGAAAGGATGAAATTAAGTCAGGAAAAAATAAAAAGGATGAGCTTAAGTACACATAAATGCAGTAAGTTACTAAAAGATGAGCTAAAAAGTGCACATAAATATCTATAAGTAACCAAAAGCTGAGCTAACAGTACAAATAAATAAGTAACTAATGAATGAGCTACAAGTAAGTTAACAAAGGACAAGTACACAATCCATGAACATTTGTTGCATTGACAATATATATAAATAGATTGTAAACCGCATTGAGCTTGCAATACATTTATTATTATTATTACTAGTATTATTATTTTTGACAAGTTTAGCTATTTTTTAAAACACTTTTCATATGTACAATTAGAATCTACATAAGCAAAGGCAGAAAAGTAGTGGAATCTTGACCTAAAATGGCAACTGAAAAAAGTACATGTTCAGTTAGGAAACGATAACCAGTATTTTAACTCTGCATTAACATCTCACCGCCAGGCAAGTCTCTAGGTACACTTATCTAGAGTTTAGGATTGAGTTTGAGGCAAGATGGTTCCTACAGAACAAAAGCCAAAGACTCCAGTTCGCACAATAAAGCAGAAGCTTGAGCAAACAGGAGGTAGAATGAAGACACACAAAAAAACCAACAGGTATGGCGCAAAGATTCGGTCGTTTTACAGTAAATATATATATTATAAGTTACAAGGTGCAAAATGACTATCATATTGTAATGTTCTACATATCATAACTAACTATTATAACAACTTTGGCAGCTGTTTTAACTTTTCAATATCCAACAAATTTTCTTCTTCTTGATCTTCAGTCGATGTTGTGGTTACCGAGTCGGTATTTACCACAGGAAAATCTTTTACACAGGTTTTTGTCTTTGTGACTCTCCCCTTTCCATTCTTTAAAGCATTTTCTTTGTTACACTCATTAGGATTGTAATGCTTGGGAGCTGGCAAAACAGGAGAGGCTCCAAGGTCTTTATGTTGTACAGAAGCTTTTAATGAATCTGGAAGCCATTTTTCGTTTGCAAGGGGGGAACCTTCTCCATCAGTGGAAGGAGAACCGAGAGGACGATTCCCCCTGGTTCTTAGAATCTCTTTACAAACAGGGCTCTTTACAGGAGATGAATGCAGTGATAACCTTGAGCTAGCATCCACATCTCCGTCATTGGAACTCTGCCATCCAGAGGCACTAACATCTGTGTCCCGACATGCACTGGCAGCCATACTAAAATCAGTTTTTAGCCTCAAGGTGTGGTCAAAGAAAGAAGGTTCCTTGCTTCCGATAAAGGTATCATTTTCTCCTCCGAGGAGCCCATGTTTTTCCATGTACTTCCGAGTACCCATAGTCATGTCATTGGGGGATATACCCAATACAGACACATCGGGGGCAGACGCGGATGACTTGCTGTGTCCGATGACTCTTTGTAAGATTTTCTCTGTATAGTCACTCTGCTGTGAGTTTTTTGGACAGCCTTGTCGCAGTTTGGCCATCTGAGTGAGCTGCTCATCATTGAGGTACTTCATAGCCATAGCGTTGATCTCCATGGACTGACCAGTGTCAGAGCTACAACCCAGCAGCATGGAGATGTAGTTCACTTGAGGCACAAAGGTGGAGTCATTGTTGCCTGAAGCTCTGTGAATTGCAGGAAAGATTAACAGATAATGGCAGTGGCAGGAAAGATAACAAAATATTGTGTCCTAAAATGAAAAGAATGCTGAAAGAAAGCAAAAATAAACCTATTGGACATAAGATGATGTGGAAACGTCACTTTAGACACATGAAATCATGAGCAGGCTCTCAAGACACTTTTCTGATTCCTTTTTTTTTTAGCTTAAAGTAACTTCTGTTTTGTCTTTGCATGATTTATGAAATAAATACTTTTTAGACCAATCGTCCTTTCAAGGAAATACTTACTACAATAATAACGGTAAGCATAATCTGATATCATCAGTCAAGCCTCTGTGACAGTTCACAAATGTTGGCTACCTAAACATGACATGCAGAAACAGCCAAGCAGATTTTTTGTTGCCAAAAGGATGGTCACAGTTGTGCTGTAGACACCCTTTGTGACAGACAGCTGGTGACTTTCTTTCTACTGTTCTTGAAACTCAAATCCTCATGCAACATTTCCTCCCTGTTGCAAGCAATCCAGCTAGGTCAAAATTTTGAGAATTTTTGAATTTTACTCTCTCCCAAAGACGCATTTTTGAACATCACCAAAACTATTTTTTTTATTCCAGATGTAAAAAGTACCCAAACAGACCTTTGTGCAATGCTTGAGATATTCAGATTACCATTTTTTTAAAAACTAATAAAAAGGGTCATGTTATATCCTGAAATCAAGAAAGACACACTTACTTGCACGGGGAAGACTGCACTGTGGTGTCTGACAGAGGAACATTCTCCGAGGCCTCTGCATCCTGACTGCCATCACCGGTGAGAAACATCTGTATGTTGTTCTGAGGAAACAACATACACAATTCAAAACCAAAAGAGACAGGAATTCTCATCTCCACTCTGCCGTCTTTAATACTGATACTCAAAACAGCCTGATATCAATATAATATTGCATAGGAAAAAAATATTTGCAAACTGACGCCTGAACAAGATTCTTGTCTACCACAAAAACAAAACAAGCCAAGAGAGAATATCTGTTGAATGAAATGCAAAGTAAACTAGCAAATAAATTTTTGGTTATATTCAAAACCAAAACACCAAGGGAGCATGAAAGTCCTTAATCTCATTGTTTGTATGATTTTAAGTGCTGATCTATTCAAATATAACAGCAGTTTGAAAATGATTGGACAAATGAAAGACACAATCTCCCCCAAGCCCAAAAATTTAAAAAAATTAAACACAGTGTAAAGAAGGTCCCTTACCATCAATTGACTGTAATACTGCTTAGGATCTGTGGCATCTTCAGCCAATGTGGAGTACGAATCATCCTGAATTGCAGAATAAAGGGCAAAGCTACAGTTAGCCATGTCATTTATAGTCAAATGTACACAGAGAGTGGATCATCAACACAGAAAGAAATGGAGAAAGAATTAAACAATCAATTGATTTAAGAGAGGAAAACGACACAATAACGTTGATCAGATGATAAGAAGGAAATTAGAAAATAGGGTCGAACCTGCTCTATCGGCCACCTGTCTAAAATGATCATTAGTACAAAGGACCACTTCCCACCCTAATTTTAAAAAATATTATGACACTGTCCAAGGCATCAACCTGTCTAAGACAACCGCTTTTCCCCTCAACAATGGGTGGCACTCTTGAACAATTTCGACCGTAGATGGATAGAAAAGTATTGGCTTCTACCAGCAACATCTTTCTCCTCCCAGCAAGCAACAGGAATTTAAAACAGTCAAACAAAGCGCATACAGTGCTAGTTCTTTTAATACTTTTATCTTAACTTTAAAAACAAACCTGTCCATTGTTGTAGTAATCACTGACACTTGTTGGGCTGCGGTCAAACTGAGACTGAGATCTGAGGGAATAAATATAAAAAGGTTTGTGGGTAATGTGCAAAGAACAATGAAAGAATAAGATTTAAAATCAAAGTAGCAATTTAGGGAATAGTAAGATATGTACTTAAGATTGATTCACCACGTTTACCGAGGACACTATAAATAAACTGTGAAAGTATTTCAAGTAAGACCTAAGGGAGAAGTCCACAAGAAGGAATGGTACAAATTCTTCAGACTAACAACATAAAATCAGCATGAGTAGACTGTGCCTAAAAACTTTGGCCATGCGAGTCCATTACCTTCCTAAAGAAGAAATATAAAACATAAAAAACAGTTGCACCAGGAAGCCTCAACCACCAAGAGAAACAGTGCTCTTACAAACATTAGAAGCGCAGAGGAACAACAGGAAAAAAGTCAAATGAAATATGTAAAAAAAGGTTTTCTTTTTATGATAAGAGGTAAAAAAGTACCTAATTAAGTCTTAGTGATGACATCAAACCTAAGGAATTCGTTCATCTATTTCACAACATGGAACATTCAGTATTTGCTTTTCATTTTATCCAGTTGAAACAAGACAGCATTCATTCCTGATGAAAGATTTTTTTTTCTTAAATATATACAGTATATATTTTCTTTTGAGATACCCAGTAAGCCATTATTCACTGATATGCACAGACACTTACTTATATATGCAAGAGATATAGATTTTTGCAAGACAATAGCCAAAAAAAACCCCCCTCCACTTCCCCAGTCCATTTCGCTTACTGGCCCCAAGATCACCTTTTCCTTCGTAAATCTGAACACGACAAGTTTATTCTGCAATAATCTTTGCTAGGCTTAACGGACGAAACCTGAAAAGTAATCAGATCCTCTAAGGTACATAAAAATACACCCTCCAAAATTTCCTAAAAGAAAGAGCATGACAATATAAAGGAATAATATTGTGAGAAATACTTACTTGCTGTCCATAGTGGAAGAATAGTCTGGCATATCCACGACTAGATCAGATACCACAGTGTTCATAGTGTGGTCGTACACGGGAATACTTTCCGCAGCACTGACCAGATCTCTGTGGTCAGTCTCTTCTTCCCCTGAAGATGAAGTGTGAGATGATGGCGTTCGAGCTGAATGAACTTCTAGGTTGGAGACAACATTTTCAGAATTGTTGGACCTGACATCTTCATATCTCGTGCTGTTCACAGGAACAGATCCGTGATTCCTAATCTCAGCAGGGGTGTTTCCATTGCTTTTGGGACCTTGGTGAAGAAAAAAAAATGGACGAATGCATTTGAAACACCAGGCTATGGTTGCATTTTCACAATGCATGGATAAAATTCTTGTACACACAAGTCCAGCTAGTTTTAACACAAGATATATCCATCCATGTTTTTTCTTTTCCTTTATTTTTTTGGTAAGTGTTTTACCGCGCTCACAACGGCATAAAAGGTCATATGAGCAGGCGGGACAAATTAAACATTTTCCGTTGGGAGAAAATTTTGAGTTTTGTTCGGGTGGCGGCTGAAGCCTACTCTTATTGATTTTAGACTACCAAGGGATCTTTAATGTGCGCAACTTGCATACATGACCTCCGAAATTTTTCGGCCTTGTCCGAGAAGGCTAGGTGCAAATCTTTCCTACCAGAAGATCAGGGGGTGTGGCTGAAAGACAGCAGTAAGGAGTAGAAGTAGAAAGACTGTAGAAAGAGTCAGGAGCCCAGAGGAGGGGGTAAATGAGGTGAGGGGGCAGGGGCAGAAAGTGGAGACGAAAGCAGACAACAGAATATATTGCTAGAGAGCAGGAAGCGGTGAACAGAAAGGAGACAATTTTAGAGAAGAACATTTTTCAGTTGCTGCCCGGATTCAAACCCGGGACCTTTGAATGAGAGGCGTACACCTTAATCTCTAGGCCAAGAGAGCCCCCATCCATGTTTTTAAAAAATCTAAGTTCTACAATACGCAAATTATGTTTATATTATATATAAGAGCAAAAAGAAATGGCTTTTAAAAAGACATATTTATATAAGCTATTTTTTCATGCCTCTCTACCACTACCAAGTGATGAAACTTTAGGAAAGGGCAAAACCACATTCTCCAAAAAGTAGAATAGAGAGAATTGCCAAACTTCCAGAAGAAAGAAGGGGAATAGAATTATTTACAGTTCTTTTAGATATGCTAGAACTTGCATCACATCTGCCATCAGCTCAGTTCTTTAGATTTTTAACAAAAGTGAAGTCAATTCAAAATCACAGAGTAGACTTCTTTCTGACATGATAGTCCTTTAAGATTAGTTATAACATTCTCAACCCTGAGGAATATATATGCATCTAAAAAGGAATGTGAACTTGGAGATTCTGCACCTTGATTGCCCCAGATTGCGTTGCAAGGGAAACAAAACTCATTTAACCTAATTTACGTGAACAAACTGGTTTCATATTGTCTATTTCAGACAATCATAACATATTCTCAATCCTGATATATATATATCTAAAAATGAATGAGTTGTGGTGAGCTTGCTTTCTGCCATGACCCACATGAGCACATAACCAAACGACAACTCACCCCGAGAGCACATTTTGGACAAGGAACAGTGTGTTTACTTATTGAATTCACTGACAGTGCAAGAAGCAAGACTAATTAAATTAAATAGTGCAGTTTCATGTGGAGTAAATGTCTGTCTTGTGAATGTGCCTATATCAAGCTACATGGAGATCCTACATCTTGATTACCTAACAATACATAGAAAGAGGCCCATTCAATTGACAAAGGCACAATACTCTCATTGTCAACCATAAACGATATTAAACTCACCAGAGAACTCCTCTGGTTGAGAAGATGGATCCATCAGCACAGGAGACGCTACAAAGTCTGGATGAACAGTGGTAAACTTTTGAGGGCTTGTCTGAACATCTCTGCACTCCCGAAGTGTACTGCCATCTTGCTGGGTCTGTCCCGTGGAATCCATAAAAGACGTATTTATTCCAACAGAGCATCGCTTAGAGTTGTGCTGAGACCCTACAGAAGCGTCAGCTGAGAGTTGCGTTGAAGTGGTGATGTTGTCAGGATGGCTTCTTGCCGTGCTCTGAGAGGCAGACAACTGCTGGGACTGATTGTGCATGAGAAGAGAGATTTGCTGCTGCAAGAGTTTGAGCTGCTCATTCTGCTGAATTAACAACATGCGGATTTCCGGGGGGACCTGGTCCCATTTCACGCTGTTCATGGAAGTTTCTAGAGACGCTGTTGAGGCTTGAAGACCAGATGGGGTGGGACAAAGGGCTGAAGCACTAGCACCAATAGATGAAGCAGGTGCTGATGCTATAGACAACATAGGAAGAGCTTGTCCATGAGGTGACGGGTTCATCCTGTCGGGAGTAATGCTTAGTCCACTATCATCATCACTTATCCTACTAGTGCTGCTACCACTACTATGGCTACCATTATGAGTTGTAGCACTTGCTTGCAAGTTCCTATTACCTGATACACTTCCCTGACTAAGCTTAGAGTTAGAGGAAGAAGATGACGAAGATGACGTTTCTTCTACTACAGTTTTCAAAAATGTCATTGGGGGGTTTGAATCCTTGTTCATTGAAACAGGAATGCCAGTGTTCCCACTATACTGTCCATGAGAACGACCAGTAGCAGGAACCAGGTTGCTAGGTAACGAGCTGACTGCCAGCACAGGTTGGTGTGGCAGAGACATTTGTTGCTGGACTGGTGCGGGGGTGAATATCCCATTAGAAGTCTGCCCATGCCCTGATTGCTGTACTACTGCATGCCCATTTCTACCACCACCTTGTGCGTCTACTGGTGTTCTCGGCATCTGGAGCATGGCTCCAGTCTGAAATTGCCCTGATGGAGTTTTCAAAATTCCTCCTGGTTGGGGATTCCACTGCACGGACTGAGAAGGTTGGACTACTGCCTGGCTGCCAGGTATCCTCACTCCGGGTTGCATTGTGGGGCCAGCCTGAAGGGGCGCGGACTGCACCGGGACACCGGGTCGTTGAGCTGATGACATGAAGGAAGGCTGTGGGTGAGAGGGAGGACGGGTGTATGTAGGATATGCTCCTTGGTGGGGAGCCATATGCACACCCAATCCCACCCCTTGGTAGGGCTGAGCAGAAGGTGTTGCACTGAACTGTGGAGCACTTGCAACCAATGGGGTCATTGACTGGGAGGGCACAGGTGGTTGATGGGCAACAGCTGGCATCTGTTGGTTGGGAAACATACCATTTTGTCTAGCTCCAGGCTGCTGGACGTACCCAGGATGGCCTTGGTATTGTAGACTTCGGGAAGACTGATGTCTCTGACTGACTATGTTTTGTACGGGAGAGGGTCCTTCTGTTTTTCTATGGTACACAATTCCATGATTGAGAGTTGTAGGGGGGCCATAAGAAACAACACTGGCAGCTGGCGTCATGGACTGCTGAAATTGAGCATAAGAGCTAGAGCTAGGCACTGGGGTGTACATTTGTTGAAGATGTTGGGTGACACTTCTATTGTCATATGGCAGATGTGGAGTTGAGCTTGAGCTAAATGGGAGATGAGGTCTTGCAGGCAAGGACGCAGGAGGAAATTGAGGGACTTCTGATGGCTCTGTCCACAGAATCGACACATCGGGCACCATTGGCGTGAAACATGGTACCTGGCAGGGGAATTTTAAAAAGCGGTATTCATAAACATAATTGCAAAGCTCTTCAGAACACATCATCACTGATAATTCTGCAAACCTGAGATAACCAAGGACACACACAAAAAAATATTTTAAACACAGTAGTTACACCTTGAGTGAAAACCAATGTATTCATGAATTTCACTGTAAAGTTATACAGAATACATTAATGGGAGTGCTTATTTAGGCCACATATGGCCTAAATAAGGTAAGGGAGGGGGGTTTAGCTTATTTAGGCCACCTGTGGCCTAAATAAGGTACGGGAGGGGGGTTTAGCTTATTTAGGCCACACATGCTTAAACTACCATTTTCACTGATTTTCAGGCAACTGAGTTCGTTCCACTTTCATAATGGTGCACCATTCTCATTTAGTACAGTTTTGTTTCAGTGTACAACTTATAAATCATAATCATAATGAATATTGTAAGAACAAAGCACTATACACAAAATTTTGCTCAATCCCAATGGTTTGAATGAGGGCCAGATTTTTCCTTCAAGGAGGGGCAAAAACTAGGCTACTGTTTTGGCACACTTTGGTCTAGTGAAAAGGTCAAATCCTCCGAATGGACTTCCTGGTCAAATCTGGGGTATAAAAAGTGTGTACACAACGTGGCTGAGTCAAGGTTACACTATCTTTGCTAGAGTGGCACTCTCTCGTACTGTCTCGTAGTGGTACATGTGGTAGTAGTAGTAGTAGCAAAGATCGTGTAGAGAATCTTTGGTAGTACATTCTATCTAGTAGGCAGTTTAGTGAACGTGCACGCGGCAGGGCGAATCGGCCTCGATAAGCCCCGTAGACTTTTGCGATTGGCCACGAAGCCTTTGTTTTAATGGGTCTAAATAACTCAGTGTTAATAATCGCACTGCCACATCCGACAGGCCTACATCTTTTTAAAAGGAAAAGAAAGATCATCAAAATGGTTGAATTCGAGCGAAAATCGATTTTGTAGAACTGGAACTACATTTGTATTAAAATTTGCTTCTGAAAACAAGGCAATTTTTATAACTCGATGAAATAAGAACTACTGGCTGTGTTATTCTGTATAGATTATGAAACTTCAGGATGTATTATTATTTTCCAACATCTTTTGACGCCTGAGCTGTAGAGGTTGAAGTTTTCACAACACTAGTAGATCTAGTAATAGGGCTTATTTACTTATTCACTTATTGTACTACGGTGACCGCAGGGTCCACCTATTCTCAAACCTAACTAGTATTTCGTTAGGTAGACCCTGGGGTCAACCTTAAACCTACCTATTTCACTACGTTGACTCCAGGGTCCACCAATCCTTAAAATCAAACCTAGATATACATGTACTTATTTCACTACGTTGACCCCAGGGTCCACCAATCCTTAATTAAACCTAGATCTACTGTTTCACTACGTTGACCCCGGGATCCACCAATCCTTAATCAAACCTGCATCTACTTATAATTTCACTACGCTGACCACGGGCTCCGCCAGTCCTACTAAAAATAAGGTGAGATCTACTTATTTCACTATGTTGACCCCGGGGTCCACTGATCCTTAGTTAAACCTAGATCTACATATTTCACTACGCTGACTCCGGGGTTCACATCCTAAAACCTAGCATTTTGTTAGGTAGACCTCGGGGTCCACCTATCCTTTTGGCTAGATAGACCCCGTGGTCCGCCTATCCACTTCCTTGATAATAACTGAAAACAATACATGCCAGTTGTCATGAATAGTGAAGAAAAATGTGAAGGAGAAAAAGATAATGAGGAAGACTATAATTTGTCCAAAAAATTGCAAGCGCAAGTGAAGAACATAAGATAATTTTGTTATTTACTGGTCATCTTTTCACGGTTTATAAAATGTTCCAGCTACTACTAGATCTATGTCTCTGAAGAGCATTTTGCTTGACTTTATTAGCTTTTTTCATATACTTGAAAGCATAGAATATATAGTTTCACACAAATGTATGCACAATACTTTGAAAAAGAAAGATAAGGTCATTTTTTTTAAAAACGGAATCCGTTTTACGTTGAGAAAAGCGCTAAAAACAAGTTTAAAATTTTTAAGAATGCCCATAATATTAGGAATCCAAAATTACTACCTTGATCTAGTTGGCTTACTCTTTAATAACCATGATCCAGTTGAGAAAAAAAAAAGAGAATGATATAGGATTTGTCTAAATATGACCATTAGCAATTTAAAGATATTGCCCATTTTGTCCAATTATCTTTGCAGGTAAAATCACCCTGTACTGTACCTCAATGAGCACAAAAAGAATATTTCAGTGACTTTGTATAAAGATGTTTTGTAGTTGAGTTCTATGTAAAATTCCCAACAAAATAATGTACATTTGGACAGTACAACTGAGATAGACACTCATGCACACAATAACATTCACACATACATATACAAACACACTATTACATTTACTCTCTCTCTAGATCTCTCTCTCTCTCACCACAACCATACACAAAACAAACACATACACACACACACACAACTCTTACCCTTGGTCCACTTTTCATTTAGTATCATCCTCTATTTTGAAATAATCCCCCCCCACTAAATAAAAAGATCAGTAGAATCTCGACCTTCCGAATCCATGGTTAGTTCAAGAAATCTACCATATGATGTGGCCTAAATAAGGTGAGGGAGGGGGATTTAGCTTATTTGGGCCATATGTGGCCTAAATAAGGTAAGGGAAGGGGGTTTAGCTTATTTAGGTCACAGTGGCCTAAATAAGGTAAGGGAGGGGGGTTTAGCTTATTTAGGCCACATGTGGCCTAAATAAGGTCACCCTACATTAATATCTTGTGCATTTCTGCTAGTTAATGATCTCCAAGTATGGCAGAGCAACTTTGAATGGAATAAAGGTTTACGACCTGTCTTTCACCTCTATAATTAGTAATAAGGTCCTGTAAGTGTCACATACAAGTACAGGGAACTCCGTCAGTGGTGTAAACATGAGGCTCTTTGCAAATATACACAAAAGACTTGAGTTTGATTCCAGCATATAAAAATTGTTCTTATTGAGTTTCTGGGTCTTTCTATTTGGATGCTGTATCCCATTTAGTGTCGGTTAGCTCTGACAGGCAGGGTCAAAGCAACTCATATCCTACATTATCTAATTTGCGATGAAGGAGATGTAAAACACATAATCATGAACAACGAACAACAGTATCAAAAGATACAGGATTAATGTGTTAAGATTTTTTGATCAGTTAAACACAAACTAACATTTCCGAATACGACCTCAAAGTCTTCAAACAAGATGCTTATTAAGAGCACGTTTCTCTTCTCTTTTAATTCTTATAGCAAATAAGCCTTTCTGCATATAAACTATGTTACTAGAAAACAAATTCTTAACATCACGTCCATACCTTCTCCATGTGAGGGGTGGGAGCAGCACGGGGTTCTATGTCGTCAGGTACACTGCCGCCACCACCACTCTCCCTCCGTACTTGCATTGATCTGTTGAAACATTCACAAAAATTATTGAAGCAATCTTTTTCAATGGGCACAAAATACAATAAAAATATAGTACTTCTTTAACATTTCAATTATCCTTTTTAGTAGAGGTTTTACGGCGTTCGCAACTGCATAAGGTCATATGAGCGCCAGAAGATTTAGAGGTGTCACAAGAGAGCAACAAACATAAAAAAGAAGAAGGGGAGATAAGGACGATATATATCTGATAGGAAAGAAGAAGCAAACCACACCAGAGCACCCGTCAACCACTCACTTCAATTATCCTGATGTCAAGATTGAGTGTAATACCATACCCTACACAGACACGACATTTCAAAGGAACAGGGCTTGAGTCATAGTTTTTAACGAAAAAGTTGAAAAGAAACAAAAAACAACAACAAACAAACAAAAAACCAACTAAACAAACAAAAAACAGACAGGACATACGAAAAACAAAAGTATATGCATATTTACCCACATGAGGGGCATGAATTCATTTGAGGAGCAGTGAGTTTACATACAATCTAATCATAAGTCGGACTTTGTCTCATTTGTGTCGTTATCAACATTTGAGGCAGTTTTTTTTTCAGATGGGAGAACTTAAAGTTTAACATAACACGGTTTAAAAAATTGCATTTAAAAATATTTTTTTAAGTAGAGGTTTTACAGCGCTTGCAACTGCATAAGGTCATATGAGCGCCAAGGGGTGGATGTCAACAGAGAAGTCCTTACAGGGAATCAGACTCACTCTGCTCGTCTCTCTAGCTTCAGTAGCACAAAGTCTGCTTCGACTATCAAGGCCATCCGGAAATAGCGGGCCAAAAGAGTGTGACAAACACACAAAAGAAGTAGAGGAAAATGACGATAGTAAGAATTAGGAATGAAAAAGCAGCACTTCCTTGTTGTAGTTCAGGCACAGTTATGAGCATGACATTGTTAGATCAGCTCATTTACAATTCTACTGTGCACTAGAACAAGCAATGTCCCCCCTTTGGGAATGGCCTAAAGACACAGGGGGGTAAAAATTACATTTAAGTTGTAACATGATACTCACTGCAATAGGCCATGCTTTACTCTTGCTGCATCAAACATTTCTATTTTGGCACCACTATTCACTGTTTCCAGTTCAACTTCAGCAAAGTTATCACTTCGGCTTGATAAAGACTGTGAAAAGACATAAAAAGTTCCACTCAATTTTACGAAAATAAAATAACTCACAAGTTTTGACATACTCTCAAACAAACAAACCCTGAAACCATCTCACAGACAATTCAAAGCTCACAGAATGGTAGGAGTCAAGCAAAGAGGCGCACACAAGTTTCAACAAATATAAAAAGAAAACATCCTTCAGAAGCAAGTCGACCCTTCCATTCCTCTCTAACCACCAATCCCTCAATTTTGAAAACTTTAAGTTTTTTACAGGACAAACCTATCCTTACAAGACATTTTCAAACAAGGTCTTCTAGAATATAGTCCTCTCCAAAAGAGAAATTTGATGAATTCATTATTATAACAACTGCAGTCTACCATCTGAAGTTCAACTGTTAAGGTTTGGAACAAAGGTTATATATTGCCTTCCTCATTCTCCGCTACCACCCTAAGCATACAGATGACATGCTATCATAAACGTTGAAGTGTGTTTCAGTGCTATAAGGCTAAAGGCAGAACCCGCGAATTCAAAGCTCATATGAATCAGTGATCAAAACGAGCAAAGGTCAAAAAGGAGGAAAATACATCGACAGAAGCATCAAACCCGCGAAACAAAATCACGAGAGACCCTATCACACCCATAAAAATTATTAACATCAATTTCAGTTTCAAAAGAAATCTTGTAATTAACAATTAATATACCTTTGAAGAAAGAGAAAACAGCTTAATGGTTTAAAAGATCATTGCAGCAGTTGCAGAGCACTTTACCTGGAATGTCCACTTAAACTATAGAATCACCTACACAAATAATAACCTTGTCACCTTTCTCTGATTTTAAGGTCAAACTTTCCTCTAACCACACAAACCTAAATTTGTTTTTGATTTTCAAATCAATTTCTTTTATTCTGAGAACATCCAATTTTGTCAGTTCCTTCATGATGAACGCTTTCGTAAGGGTTCATGCAAGTGAAATGGTGCAAATTAAGCTAAAATAGGCCCCAAACTAACATTGCAGTCTTTAGCAGTTTCACGATGACAGAAGCACCATGAAATTTAAGTATCGCATACACAGGCGGATTACGTGGGCCAATCGCTAGGCATCATATTGTCGATAGGCGGAGGATAATTTACGCGAACCACGGTAAGGGGGAACTGGGAGGGGAAAAGAGAAGACTGAAAATCCCCGATTTCCGGGGATCCGCGGAAGGTTATGATCACTGATGAAAAAAGCAGAGCCAAGTGTGTGGTGAAACTCCCCAAGCGACCCAAGCTTGAGAATAAGGCCCCTCTGGGGATTCGAATCAGTATCATCCCCACCATAGTCTAGAACATACATAGATGGTATTGACTCAAAACAAAGCAGAACTGTAAATAAGTTAGACTACCTTTGTCATGTTTCCTACATCATGGCCAGTACACAGCTGAAACTGGAAGTTCGAATTTCCTGATGCACTGCAGCACTGGAAGAACTCGGGTCTTGAATGCATCGGTGTGTATAGAACTAGAAGAAATTCTGATGGCGGCATGCAAACCCTGAATGAGGAAATTCACACAAATAAATATAATTTAATGATCTCTTCCCAACATATTGAATGTACAGAACAGACAATGAACTCAAAATCAAACTATTTTAATTTTATAAACAATTAAAGCGAGGATCTACACAAGAGTTCTGAAAAAGGTACAAAGATCTTTTTTTTAAAATTCGATGAATGTGATTTAAAGACATTTTGGTTTTAATTATACAGTATCCCTTTGCAAGATGTAAAAAAAAGGTTATGCAAGTAAAACATTTTCTTGACCTTACTGTTTTTAACAAGATTTTTTGGCTGAAACAGAATATAATATAGAAGACATTTGTTCCATTTGGACTGCAGAACTCATATTTAACTTCACAAGCACACCAAGCTGACATGTCACTAAGCAAAATAAAGATGTTTAAACAACACAGAAAATCCAAAACCAACAGCAACTGACAAAAATAAAAATATTATCCGACCTTCAGAACAGAGTCAATTACTAAATCCAACTTACCTATCCTCCAGATGAGTACTGTGAATGTATCTCAAGCACGCTGCCCAGACAAAAGGGTGTTGCACATACTCCGTCCCAGAAACCCAGCTGGAAAGGATATATATATATTTTTTTTTTTTGCTAGTTAATCCTGCACAACTCATCAATATCCATCAAATTTAAAAACAAGCTGCAGATCACCATTCAGCCTACAATAGGGTTTACTCAGAATTTTCTTTGCAATTACACTTAAAGATTAACTACTAAATATTAACTTTAATAAAAGTTTGAATGTTGAAGGAAATATAGATTTTTGACCATTCAATCATAAGAAGAAACACTTGACAAACTGCCTTCATAGGGAACTGAAATAATCACCCAAGGACAAGCCCAGCAACCCATGCTAAGTAGATAAAAATACATCAACACTTACATGCCTACAATAGGAAGAGTTGCAGTCTTTGGATCAGACTCCAAAACAAGCAGCAACTTTCTTGTGTGATCCATGGTCAGAAACCTGATGAGAGAAAAACAATTTTTTAAATATTGATATAATGCTATGATAAAGGATTTTTTTTTTTATAATAGATTTTGAAGCACAAAAACAGACATACCATTTTCATCATGGTTGTGAGCACCATAACATTTTTACCAAATCAAACTAAATTAATTTTAATCACATTAGTAAACTGGGAAAAATCCCCCAAAAAGGAGACCTACATTTTTCTACACAAAACAATATCTACAATAATAGGGAACATTTTGGTAAACTGTCCCACTTCGAAAAATTAACTATCTGAACACCATAGTCCACAGTATGATTATTGTCAGAGAAGCGACAGGTGTTGCTGGAAAGATGAATTGATCATTCAGATATTTGCTGCATGCAAAGTCCTCATCCTGTTGCCACTGTCTCCCATATGAAAAAAACCACAAGTTTATAACAAGTATAGACTTTCTTTTCTAAGTGAGGAAAAAACAGGACAGAAACAAAGTCAAAAACTAACAAATCAAGAAGAAGCAATGAACAAACCCAGTCTTAGGTGTGCCCTGCATGTGACTCAAACTCATTGGGCCTGCTAAATTCTTCGACAGTGCAGTCAAGACAATTGGCACAGGATTGATTGGAGTAGCTTTGAACACAGTTTCCACTGTAACCATATCGAAATCGAGATGTGCCACGTAAGTGACAGCATTGCTGTAGAAAGAACCCCAGCCACGAAGCAGCATGAAGCTACTGAGGTCAATGCTTGACTTGCTGCAGCAACGCTCCTGCAACCGCTGGAAAACAAAAAGAAAAAAGAAAAAGAGAAATGTAAAACAAAAGAAATTTCCACCAGTAGTCTCAGAGGCTCTTTTTAAGAAAAGATACCCAAGTATAATACCCTACACAACTCTCTTGTACAGTCTGAAATACAAAAATTGTAGCAAAAAGAATTGAAAGATGAAAAACTACATCTCTTTCAAATATTTACTGAAACACAAAAAGAAAGCTCTGAAATAATAATAGATAGCATTTGTATAGCACAATTCCCAACTCATCAGCAAGCTCTATGCGCTTCACAATCTATATTATTACCCCTGCCCACCTGAGAGCATTCTGATACAATCTCAACTTCCTGGGAAGCATACAGTGCAAGCAGCCATTTATAAGTGCTAAAACACTAACATACTGACAAGATCTTTGGTTTTTTTTGTTTTTGTAAAGTGTTTTACGGCGCTCGCAACTGCATAGGTCATATGAGCGCGCGGGACACACCTAATATTTTCAGTTGGTAGGAAATTTTGAATTTTGCCCGGGTGGCGGCCGAAGCCTACTCTTATCGATTTTAGACCACCAAGGGATCTTTAACGTGCGCAACTTGCACACGGGCCCTCCGAGATTTTTCGCCCTTGTCCGAGATGGCTAGGTGTAGATCTTTCCTACCAGAAGATCAAGGGTGTTGCAGAAAGACAGCAGTAAGGAGGAGCCAGAAAGAGTCAGGAGCCCAGAGGAGGGGGCAAAGGAGGTGAGGGGGGTGGGGGCAAAAAGTGGAATTGAAAGCAGACAACAGAACATTGCTAGAAAGCTGGAAAGGAGGTGAAAGGAGACAATTTTAGAGAAGAAAATGTTTCGGTCGCTACCCGGATTCGAACCCGGGACCTTTGAATGAGAGGCCAACACCTTAACCTCTAGGCCACGAGAGCCCCTGACAAGATCTTTCGCTGTCTACGGCCTGGCACCCATTCCTACCTGGGAGAAGTGAGGAAAATTTGTATAAAGTGCTTTTCCCAAGGACACAATGTTGGGCCCGCGGCTCGAACCCCCGAACCCGCAACCTCACGATTACGAGTCAGGTAGCCTAACCACTAGGCCACCGACGCCACTTAATTTTATTTTTTTAAAAGTATTTAGAGAGATACAACAAAACCAGAGGAAAAATTCTGCTAACAAAAAAAGATACGTTAGTAGATATAAAACTACTAATCACAGTGCGAAAAGGCTTAACTATATATATAACCTGATGCTATATAACAGTGAAAAATTCTTTCTGAACTGAAAGCTCAGGAAAACTTTTATTACCTTAAACTCACTTGAGCCTGAGCTATTTTTCACCTAACAACCATTGAAGCCTGACAATTTTAGGGTACATTGAACAGTGAACCCTAAAAAAGATTGTGAAAGCTATCATAATTTTTTTTTAATGCAACAAAAGAAAGAAAGAAATGCTCTCACAGAAAAAGAAAACTGCAACTAATTTGTCAGAATGGTTTTTATTTTACCATTTTAAAATGGCAATTTATTTGGCGCCCAATTTGTAATCAAATCATCTAACAAAAGATAACTGTGCAGCATGGAATAAGTTGCACCCGGTGTTCATATTACTTCTTCTATGTGTTATAGAACATTTCATGAGTAGCCCAGAAACCACATACAAGGAGTTAATTCTATGTCGAGCTTGGTGTGGAAGCATGAAATCGAGTCACTTCAGGAGTACATGAAGCATTTAACAAAAGGTGTGACAGTATCCTGTTGCTGTCCACACTAAGATACTACTGTCCTTTTCTCGCCTTGTGTATTGTTGCACCTGCAACTAACAGATTTACTGCTACTATTCCCACAATCAGAACTACTAGATTTGACTATTACTTTGACTTAATTTGGAAGAAGAAAAAAGCTGTTCTGATTCCTATTTTCACTTTCACCCAACTCCGACTTCAATTGTTCATTACCTGAACTACAGCCCTATCCATAGATCTAGCAGCTTCTAGTAAATTTTGTGGGGCGTTGCGGGAGCTTCAGCCTTCTAATTCACTATCAGACCTTTTAAACACTTCAAACATGTTTCATTTATATCTTTGAGAGGCTATCTCCACTCTAAAAACGACCGCGGCTTTGTTTCTCAGAGCGCAGGGGTGTCTGACTTAGTTCGTTACAGTTAAAAATTTATCACGTTTAACTTCACCAAAGTTTTTACGGAACTAAACAAGTGGTCAACTATTGGCTTGCAACTGAAAAAACAAGGGAGAAATCGATTGCTAAAGCACATCCCGTAAATACACGAGGTTCGGCAGCGTGTCTCATAAATAAACGGGAATAGGCTGAAGTAACTTAAAATCTCTTGCAAGTGCACTATTTTATTACCAGAGGTAGCAGGAGCAGTGTTGTCATCAATTACTAGAACATTTTTATTTGCACAAACATGCAAAGAAGCCAAAAGGAAAGTGGTTTGCAGAGGACCCCCCCCCCCCCCCCCCCCCCCAATGCAGGCAAGTGTTCTTGACCATCCCAATTGTGAAACCAGCATTAAATGAGAATGTTCTCGACGAAACAGTTTATAATCAATACCGACATGTCCCAGTCAGTTTCTTTGGTTGTCAAATCTGGATCCACCATTTTGTTTAGAAAGCACAGACAGCAAAATACAATTGCTGCATTAACACTCACAATCTGTACAGGTAAACGTATACACTTACATTTAAAGCAGTGCTGTAGTCTTCCACAGAGCCACATCTTTCCTTCGCTTTGTTGTTAGTGACCTGAATCAGCATGAAATGAAAAGAGTACGTCATTAATAATTCAACAAATTGTGACAAAAGAAATTCAATAATAAATCTTGATAGGATTTCAAGTTAAATAAATAGATACTCAAGCATCTACTTAATTGTCTTCATGAATCTCAATCTCTTTGCCTTTGTGACAAATCAGAAAAATAGACTACGGATATGGGTAAGGAAAAGAAAAGGAAAGGGCTTCACAGATTGTGTATCTTATTTCTTTCAAGTTACGAGCCAATGTTGAACAACAAAAACATGTCATTTTGTTATTTCCTTTCATTCAGATCACCTTGCTTTTCAAGTCCATTTAAAAGGCAGGAATTAAAATTGGATGCTTTATTTACTTCAGATAGAACTGAGAAAAGCATTGTGAAGAACCTTCAATGAAAAGCACTCAAACATCATGCTATTACGAAAGACGTAAGGTGTCTCAAAGAAATACCAAAGACCCGCAAGCAGATCAGATGCACTATACTGAAACAAAACATTCTCCCTGACCAGCACAGACCCATCCACAGGAACAGGGATACCAAAAAAAAATATGTCAAGGAAAACATCCAGAGGGATTAGGATACCTAAACAAAATGTCATCCTGGTCAGTACTCACATCAAGAGGGATGAGCACATCACCAGGAGCAAGGCCAGCACCATCTGGAGGAATCTGCTTTCGAGTGTCCAAACGGTCTACTTGGAACTGGACACCCTCACCATCTGCGAACACAAAGGCACTTTTTAATGATACAAAAAAGTAGTAAATGCCATTGCCACAGTGCATGTGAACTTTAAAGAGGTTTTGTGACTTTGTGTCTCATCTTCAAGCTGGTTCCAGTGTAAGGCTCATTGAAAGTAGGTCCGACATCAGTTAGGAAAACAAAAGCAAAACACTACTTTTCAAATCCAAATGGTCAAAAGGAGGTTCAGTGAATATTATGATTACAATATTATATAAACCAAGATGAAGTTAAGTTCATATATAACTTATCACACTGCACCATTTATAGAATCATATTAAATTTTGTTAAATAATCATGTAATTGCAATCATAAACAATGAAAGACTAGTTAGGGCTAAAAGTAAGTCTTTCTCTCAAGTTGAATTGTAGAATCATCATTATCTAAAGGAATTATAAACAGTTCGCAAGAACCATTAAAACGGTTGAAGAAAGAAAACCCACTAACTGAGGACAACAGAAGCATTGAAATATTTCAAAGCAATTTGACATTATAATAAATTTGATTACCTTCTTCAACGACCAAGGAGCCAACAAGAATGTAAGTTGTCTGTCCATAATTCTCACACTGATGCTGAATCAGTTTCAGCACTTTCTCTGGTACACAAACCTTTGGTTTCCTGAAAAATAATTTAATTTTAAATTATATTTTTATGTTGAAATAGAATGAGCTCTATTGCTCATAAAAGCACCAGGATAGTTTTCAACACTTATTCACAATAGGTGCCGGTGCTTACTGTTATAAGGCGCCAAAGAAGTTCATCAGTATTTATTTTTTTGGGGAGGGGGGCAGAAACGATGCTCAAAACATAGTACATATGTGAGGCATCATGTTGAAATCAGGTGCTCGTCAAAATAGCGAAATCGGAGAAACAGGCATTTTTCCGCCAGTTAGACAATTTTTATTGAATGTGTATTTAGCTCAACCCTTTTTATGTCCATATAAAAATATATTTCCATGTGAATTTTATTGAAAAACGTTGAGTAAATGATCAAAATAGGTCATTTTTCAGTTTTCAAGGGTTCTTTAGCTATACCATTGGAGTTAGGTAGTTACAAAACTTTGGAGACCATTTTCCCGCTAATTTCACCACTGAAACTAGGCGACCTCACTTCCTGCAATCGCAAATATTTTAATTTTCTATTCAAGATAGCCGTTTATTTATTTAATTGGAAGCAAGGCAAATAAATCAGCTTTCAGATGATACCAATAACTCCACATGCCCAAAACTTGACGAGCACCAGATTCCACCCTGTTGCAACACATATATTTTTTAAACCACAGATTGTGTGTCATATTTTAAAAAACACAAGTGGATTTGATTTTTAAAAAAATAAGATTAACAAAAAAATAAAAAGGCACCTGGGAGTCTGCAACAATCAAATTGTATGATTGCAAACTTTAAAATATTTTTTCCCCCCTTTTGCTTAGCAAGGTAAAATGGCAAACAAACAGTTTATAAGTCATGAATGCAGTTCTTTTTTTTTTCCCAGAGGAATCAATTCAAATTTTGTCACCATAAAAAAAATAGAAAAAGGGTTTTCAAGACTTTAAAATCAAATATGGGTTTTAAGAAGGCTCATCAACAAGTCCCAATTGCACTCAGACACTTAAAATCAAATTTCAAAACCACACCTGTGGGGAACAATTACAATACTATACTTTAGCTTTAGATCTGGCTACTGGCACATTTATTTTAGAAAATAATTTAAAGTTTGAAGGTTCCCCCCCCCCCCCAACCCCCCCCACAGAGCACAACACCTAATATAATAACAAGATTCATTAATTTATTTATTTCCGTACTTCACCTGTAATAACTCAAATGAATGAAAGTTGAACGTCCAGTGCTGTTTTTATCCCACAAACTGCAAGTTGTTTTAGGAAATTCTGACTCCATCCTGCAACTGCTTCGAAGCAAAGAATAAGTACAACATTAACATATATATTATATCAACTAGATCTAGGAACAAACTGACAAAATGTATTATATTGACATTTGACACTGATTCCTTTCATTCACCACTTTCAGTTGTGACATTTGCCTTTTTTTTACCTGATGTGTTGATTTCTCTCCACTCCTCTTCTAAATATTTCGTAGGCATACAACTCTTAGATCTACTCAGTCTAAATTATGCAATCAAAATTTCACAGTATTGATCTCTATGTCAATTCCTATAATATAATACACATTACAAAGCAATGTGTTACGGTCCCTCACTTTACTTTTTACTTATTAACCCTATCCGTACGCCCTAGGGTCATTTTGTTCGGGCCCGGGGTTGTATTCTTTACATTTTAGAATATTTCTAGTACGAAGATCTCTTTGAAACTTTCAGTATTTCTCAAAAAATCATTTTGACAGACTTTTATGCAAAGTGTACGGATCGGATTCACGAGTAAATTTCCTCTTGCAAAGTGGTGACACAGAGTTACCCACGTCGTGTGGATATGATAGTAAAACACGACGTACGGATAGGGATAAACAAAACGAAGTGGCTATATGCCGTACGGCCCTCCCGTAGCATAGCATTGAGGCTATGTGTACGGCCCTCCACTTCACTATTATAATAAGCTTTGTAGGCAGCACATACAGGCGCTGACCTTTTTTCAATGGAAAATTTAAGCATTCCTTATACTTGTATTATGGAAAATGACGTAGTAAATTGCAGGTCAAAGTTATAAATAGGGACCAATGACTTTGCAAGTTATCTTGATCTCGTAGAGCATCTCTTGGCCAAAGATCGTACACATAACAAAATAGTTCACTCAGCCAGAAAGGTGTCCCCGAAAGTCCGCACATTGGTTCAGATGACGCTGCAGTCTGTTTTGAAGCTCTCTTTCGTTTCACCAGAAGAAGAATAGGTATAGCACAGTTTGTTCGTTTCACCTTTTTTATAATAATATATTTTCACACAAGTAGGGTAACTCTGATCGCAAAGTCCGTTTAATTGGCTCAATTAGAGGAGTTCAAACTATCTTGTTTACATGATCTTTGTCTTTGCCAAACTGATCGATAAAGTGACGCAGTCCAGCTGAGCGATTATCAAGGCGTACTTCTACTTCTATATGTAAATCTAAGGGCCGTACGTAGGGAGAGCCGTATGCATAGCCACGAGGCTATGCGTACAGGAGGAAAGTGGCTATTCTCACCCGCCCGGAAGTTCTCGCAAGATCAACTCCTCCCCTCTTCTCTCTCTCTCTGTCTCTTTCTGAATACTGTCTATCGGTGTGGACGATCAAATTGACCAAAACAAAGTTTTAAAATGATGTTAAAACACAAAAGTAAATTAATTTGGTTGTCTACAAAGATGCTACGGCTATTTAACTTTTCGAATCGAGCCGAACTACACGGGTCGCCATTTTGTTTTGCCCGGAAATTCTCGCGCTACTCCTCTCTCTCTTTCTCTCTCTCTCCACTGCCCACAGACAAAATTGTACGCTTTTAGTAGGCTACAGAACAGTTGTAATGGAACGTTTGTTCACGGCACAGAATTCTACAATTTTTCTGTTATCACAGTGTAGAATTCTGTGGTTTAGGGTGAACGCAAAATTTGGTGAACGCGCACCGGGTGAGAAGAGCCACAAGACTCGCCTGCGCCTGCACTATTCTCACTCCGGGTGAGAATAGAGGTGGCCTTTAAAGAAATACTGTAAGTTTCAAAGAGATGTTCGTTCTCTAGATCTAGATAGAAGTATTCCAAAATGTGAAGAATACAACCCCAGGCCCTACAAAATGACACTACGGCTACGGGTAGGCCTAGCCTAGATATCTAGATCTAGATCTAGCAAGAACAGTTCGGTCAGCCAATTGCCAGTAATTAAAACATATAGATCTATATAGCCTATAGCCTACTATAGTACATAGCCTATAGCAGCATTGCCCGTGAGCTGTCTGAAAGATCCCCATCACAAAATGAAACAGGTAAGTAGCGAATAAAGGAGTCTTAATACTTTTAATGCCAATAGATTGAGAGATCTAGATCTAGTAGTTGTCGAACTACATGCTGCCATTTTTTCAATGAAATGAATGGTGGTTGGTAAGGACGCCACAATTACATGATTTGAATTCACACCCCAAAAAATGTTTTTAAAAATCTTCTCGTTTCGACAGCCTAGTCATATCTGATCTGTGTTCATTGCACCTACTAGATCTATATGGCCCCAGTCAGTCACAATAATCGGGTTTCCATATTGACTGATATTTACACTAAATCACAGATTGTTTCCTCAGGATCCTGCGTTGGCCGAACATGTCTCAACCTAGAGGCTCGCGGGCTCCATTGTCAAAACAAGCGCCTGTCAATCATGGACTTCTGAGTCACTGCGCAGGAGCGGAAGAGCCTCAATTTCGAAACTCGTTCCTCGTTGTTCACTGGTGTCGTGTAATGTGAATTGCGGTGATTGTGTCAACAAACCTCCTATAACTATAGCAAAGCCCTTGGCCAGACAATACGAAAGCTGAGGTAGCCTTCCACTGCAAAGCTCGTTTCAGTAAAGCTTTCTTTGAGGTAAGAGGATATTTTTCTTGGAATAAGTTGAAGAGTATTCGGAGTCCCCTCTACCAAATCTTAGAGTCTAGAAGTCTAGATCTTTAAAAATATTATTTGTATTCGAACTTATTTATGATGATGTTTGACGAATTGGTTGATCTAAATCTAGCCTATTGAAGTGCTGTTATAAAATTAGATTATCAGTACACAGATGTCAAGATCACTAGATCTAGATTCTAGAGATATCTCTAGATTCTAGAGATATCTCTAGATTAGATAGATTTCTAGGTCTTGTTTCGTGTAGTCTACTGCTTGAACTTTTATTGAGCGTTTTGTTGTGTTTGCTGCTGCTGCTACTGTAGTCCTCGCCGACTTTGTTGTTTTTGTTTTTCCGCAGTGGCTTTGTTCACGGCCGTGAACGTAGTCTGCAGGCTACGTTGAGTAAGGAGGCTAGGTTCATGGCGCCCTGAATGCAGTTTGCAGGCGCTGTTGAGGCTACTTTCACAGCACTAGACTAAAGTACTAAAGCTTCGTTTAACAAGGGCAAGGGGAGCATCCACTGCCGGTTTAAGTCAGTGACGACAGTGATGTATATTTAGATCTAATATTTTGGCCAGCTTCAAGTGTTCCATCCCATGAGTTGAATTAAAAGTCGGGATATGGGATAGATCTAGATTCTAGATCTAGATCTCGGCCCTATAGAAAATCGAATGAGTACGGTAGCCTACGTGGGAAACAAGAGGTGGGATTCGGAAGATGGGACTGGTCATAAAATGGGTACAGCAATGACTGTATTGCACCGGGTCAGCCTGGGAACCGACGCAGAGAGAAAATGACGGGAGTCAATTATTCTTTATTATATTAAATAACAAACACCCTCTCTGTCTCTCTCTTTTTCGGTCTGTCTCTCCCCTTCTCTTTCCTTCTCTCTTTCTCTCCCCCACCCCCCCCCCCTCTCTATTTTTCTCTGTCTGTCTCTCCCTCCCTCTTTCTCTCCCCCCCTCTCTCCCTTTCTTTCTCCCCCCCTCTCTCCCTCTCTTTCTCCCCCCCCCTCTCTCTCTCTCTTTCTCTCTCTCTCTCTCTCTCTCTCTCTCTCTCTCTCTCTCTCTCTCTCACACACACACACACACAGCCCGCAGACAAAATTGCACGCTTTCAACTCAAGAAGGCTGGGACGTTTGTTTACACTCGTATATCGCGGGCCGTAAGGCGCTAACACAAGGTCGCGCCCAAGTGAGCCCAAGTCTCGCCCGGACGCGAAATAGATCTACAGTAATTGAAACATCTTTGATAGGCGTATACATTTTTGTCATAAAATATCCTAATTCGTTGGTTGTTGCGTAATTGAGAATTCGTCTCTTTCCCTTGTAAATCATGGCAAGCTCTGAGCCAGAGCTCAGTGTGTAAGGGAAAATGACACATGGTCGATCGGTCAAGGATCACTGCTTACGCTTGAAGCAGACCAAAATATTAAATATGTCAGTGTCGTCACTGGCTAAACCCGGCTTACTTAAACTGGCAGTGGACGCTCCGTCTAAACGACGCTTGAGTGCTGTGAATATAGCCTCAACAGCACCTGCAAACTGCTTTCAGGGCGCAGTGAACGTAGCCTGCCAACTACGGTCACGCTGCCGTGAACGTGGCTACTACTGCATTTGTTTTTTTGTTTTATTTGTGTTACCTTTTTAAAAACAGATCTCAGCAATTCTTGTTTCTTAAATTTACCTTCTCCTCAAAGCTGTACACACACACACGAGCGCGTGCGCTCAAACGCAGCCCACAAGCAGTCAGCGATGAAACCTAGTGACGTAGTCCATCGCGCACTATTACTAATAGCTAATACAAGGGGTGCCCTTTACGGTAAGATCTAGTCAACTGATGAGGGAAGCCCCAGAAGACAACAAAAATAGGTTGCAGAACTATGTCATTTATATTTGGGCTAATCACAGAGGTGTGCTAGGTGCTCGCTGTAGAGATCTAGATGTAGATTAGAATCTAGTAATTCTTTCAGCCCAATCTCATGATGATGCTCAGGTATTAGAACTTGGCACTCTTTTGAAGAAGTGGTCCCGGCCTAACCAGAGATGGTTTACAGTAACAGAGAGGTGTCACTCGTGGCAGCGCTCCATAACAACAGTGCATTGATTTGCATAGCCTATTGCGCGGCGCGGGGCACGAAAACCTCTTCGCGGGAATGACTGCCACTGCGGTGCTCAGGGATGCTGTCATGTCATGAGAAAATGAAGTGCCGTCTGTAGTTAGTTCATTAGTTTACTAGCCCTGTAACAAAGAAGTGGGTCTGTGAATTCTATCGCATAAGCTCGGCCATAAGCTGTAAGAGTTGTTTTTGACCTAAGCTATCATACATCCTAGTTCTAGTAGACGCATACATTACTTCGTCTCTATAGATATGAAAAAAATATCACTGGTAATTATTAAGGGCATACTTTATAATCGCTTAGTTTTCAGAAAGACTGCTGTTCTCCAGTGTTCCTCTGTCCTCTCTCTCTTTCTCTCTTTCTCTCTCCCTGTCTCTCATTCTCCCACCTCTCTCGCTTTCTGTCTGTCTCTCTGTCTCTCTGTCTCTCTCTCTCTCTCTCTCTCTCTCTCTCTCTCTCTCTCTCTCTCTCTCTCTCTCTCTCTCTCTCTCTTTTCACATGCAACATATCTTTCACCAGTAGAATGCAAGCTCAATTTGGGTATTTAGGCCGGAATAAAAACAATTGATAGCTGAAATAACAAAGTTGGACTGTGCTAAGTTTGTGCATGCATGTCAGTCTGGTAGTACCACAATCACATTGTCATTGTTTTGCCATGTTTTTCTTCTTTTCATCAGATCGTATTTATAATTAAGTAGGCTATTTACCTTTCGTTATCTTTTGGGAATCGAAAGAAACTCAGATTTGGATTTAGGGGTGTTTTTTTTCCTTTTTCCAAACTTGGCTCGATACTGGCATAAAAAGAAGTAGAGATAAGTCTACCAACAGAAAAATTTGAAACAGATAGTGTCAGTGTCGTTCAGATATATATTCACAAGTAGGTAGAAATTTATGGTCATCATAGTACTTATCACAATCCTAAAGGGACCGTCGCATAAATATTTCTCACAAAATACTCATTTTGCTGCTGTTTGTACAGGATGATTTATGAAAATTGTACACCAGATAACCTGAAAGGACGTTGTTCTTATTTTCTGACCTCTGCAACATGTTTAGGAATGTCAGGTCTTACGAAGGCTCTTCAGATACTTACAATTTATTCCCATTTTTGACGAATGCCAGTTGGATTTTGACGTGAAAAATGTATCAGGAGAGAAGCTCAAAACACACAAAACATAATGTGCTGGAAAACGAAATTGGAAATAATTCAATAAGTCTTATAAGTTTCCACATGGGCACCTAATTTTGCTTCATTTACATATTTACAAACTGGTTTGTCATCAATTTTTTAAAAAGTGTCTGAGAGAGGGTGTCTCCCATTGAATTGTAAGTTAGAGAAGGAGTCACTCTTGATTTATGAAATAAATATTAAAGCGAATGAATGAAGGTGGTATTGAAATTAGTTATTGAAAATTGAAAGGAAATATCTAGATCTGAATTTATGGAGACTGCACTAAAAGAAAGCACAGGTTCCCACTTACAACCACTGTTGTACCTATCATCAACCAAATCGAATTCAAATGAAGCTCAGAAACAAGATACTGATCTGTGATAATGCAGGTGGCAGTGTATAATAGTGTATACAGTATTTGGGTTCATGGGCTACACTTTCACAGAGTTGGTCATTGGAAGAATATAACTCGTGTATTTATACAGTTGGGGAAAATTGAGTCTGCAGTAGATGCATTTTCCCCCACCCAAAATTGGGCATGGGATAGCCATAATTGTTCTGAAGTCTTGGGTGACTTTGGTCCTCTTCTATCTTTTCTGAGATTTTTTAAGTTGATCATTCAGACTTAATTAAACATTGTTATTGTTTTTCCTATGTTCCATTTTCAGTTAATCACCAAAACTGAAGTTAACATTCAAGCTAGGAGCTGTCCTGCTACGCTCCTTGACTCCTCCCAAAAGTTGTGCATCTCTACTCGTTCAGTGCAGAAGTTACTGTCCCAACGTGCTGGCCTCAAGTGGAAAAGTCATGTCTGGAGACTCAGCAAGCCTTTACAATGTTGTCTTTGTGCTTGGGGGACCTGGTGCAGGAAAAGGCACTCAGTGTGAAAAAATTAATGAGGTGGGTCAAGTACGAAAAAAGCCAGTTGTTATTTGGTCAACTATTGTATGGTATGGAATTTCTGTGGTCCCTTTGAGATTAACAACCCCCTTGTGCTATGAGGCCTTCGCTCAAGTTTCCTTTTTTTGTTAGGGGCAGTGGTATCATCTACATGACCGCATAGTGAACTATCATCCTTATTTTCTTCAGTGTGTGTAGAGCTTCTCATCTGCATTATTGCTCTGGTAGGTCAAGTGGTTATAGGTCAAGTGTTGCAGAGGTCAGCATTACAAAATTTTATCGATAAGTTGACCCTCCTTTAATAGATGACCTGATAATGATATAAAGTGGGTTTCACTGTTGACCTCTCTGTGCTTGCAGTCTGCAGGTAATGTGGTGTTATCAGGCTGTGGTTTGCTGTCAAACTGAACTGTGTCAGTGTGCCATATATAAGACTGCTAAACTTATCCTCTGTCTAAAATTATCTCACTATACTAACAGGCCACCTCTTGTCTTCAACAGTACTTGTATATATCGTGAATGAAAATTTTGAGGATTGGCCTTTAAAGCGCTCTGAGATGAAAAGGGCCTTTTTGTTGAAAGAATATATTCATCACTTTGAATTTGCCTTTGTATCACATGATCAACTTGTTGCCTCTTTTCTGTTTGAAACAAGCTTGTGAATGAAAAACTAACCTTAATATTAGAAGAGAAATATAACAGTAACATTCTTGTCTGTCATGTTTGAGGCTGTGTATTTTCAATCGCTCAGTCAAAAAAAGATCTGGTTATCCATTGCCTGTGTTCCTATGTAATTTGAATTTTTTTTTAAAGGGAATCTTGGCAAGAAACACCTCTGTGTAGGCTATATATATTAATGTATGATACACACACATCTGGAAAATATTTTAAGATCCTGAAATGCCTATCAAAGTATCAGAACTGACTGCCATGTTTTTATATCTTGTCTTAGTATTAATGGTATAAAGTAAATCGTTTAAAAAAATGCTGAGCAGCATGCCACAAATTAATACAACCTTTGATTCTCAACTATTCCTTAGGTCTTCAAATTTAAGCATTTATCGGCTGGGGAGCTACTGAGACAAGAGCGTCAGACGACTGGTTCCGAGTATGGTGAACTCATTGCCAAACACATAAAGGATGGAACCATCGTTCCTGTAGAAATCACATGTTCACTTTTGAAACGAGTACGTCTGTCTATGCCAGTGAATGTTTTTTTGTGACTATAATTATCTCTCTCTCTCTCTCTCTCTCTCTCTCTCTCTCTCTCTCTCTCTCTCTCTCTCCCTCTCCCTCTCCCTCTCCCTCTCCCTCTCTGTCTTTCTCAACTATGAGTGATAACTGAAAATGATGAGATGTCCTTTCAAATCCTGTGTATTTTGTTAATCAGAATTTCTGTACCCTGTTATATCTTTGCTCATTTCTGTTTTTGTGGGTATTTTTTAGAGTTTGGTCTGACTATAGACAGCTAGTGTTTAAAATTTAATTTTTGTTTGTTTTTGTTTTTTAAATGTGTGTAGTTTTACTAATTTTTTTATACTGAACCAAACAACACTGTGCTAGATGTCTCTGAACCCCTTCAATGTTTGTCAATTTTTTAATTTTTTTTTAAATTTTTAATTTTTTTAGGGGGGAGGGATTGTCATACTGGCTTTTCATTTTGAAACAAATGGTTTTTGGTTTGGGTTTTTTTCCTTCCTCCAATACAATATAAATTCACCCTTTTTTTATTCAGCGGTTAATTTTGATTTGTACTGTGTTCCTCTTCTTCCATAGTACTTATGAATTGCAGGCACAGATTTTTCATATTCCTATGAATTGTTAAAATAGATTTATTAAGATTTTTAAAGAACTGTAAAGAGGGTTCAAGAATGAGATTATTGTACCAATGGTACATTTTTATACAATTTTTCTGATCTCGTCTAATGGAATTCCATTGCTATGTTCATGTGTTTCTTAATTTATTTATGTCATAGTAATTGTGATCATGTATTACACAGGAAATGGAAAACAGCCAGGTTCGAAATTTCCTTATAGATGGATTCCCTAGAAACAAAGACAACCTGGATGGTTGGAATAGTGCCATGAAAGAGGTTGCAGATGTGAAAAGAGTACTCTTCTTTAGCTGTCCTGATCAGGTAGGAAAAATGTTTGTCTTGATAGAAGCCTGTGGCTTTATGTAAGAGTCGCCTGGATATAACGCTATCCAATGAGGCTTGATAGTAGCCTCAAAGTTTGCCATTTTCTCACTTATTTTATCACTGATACCAGGTGATCGCCACCTCCATCAATTGCAAATATCTCAACTTCTATTTAAGGTAGATGGTTTCTTTTTTCATTAAAAGTAAGACAAATGAACAAGTTTTAAGATGATGCCAAACACTCTACGTGCCGAAAAATTGACAGAGCGTCTGATTCCAAGGCACTGTGACACAAATGATTTTGATGAATGATGTTGATTGTTCTGGTTTTGTGTTAAAGAGAAGTGCTACTTTATTACTGTTTAGTAATGGTTGTTTAGTGCTAGGTAATGCAAGACACATAGTAGGGCAGGAGAAAAGTAAATATCTCTATTTATAATAGTAGGACTGTTTTATTTCAGCAAGTTACTTGTTCATACGAAAAAAAATGTGTGGGTTTTTTTTTATGCGTACAGTGTGTTTTATTAATATGATGCATACCGTACCTGTAAAGCTGGGGAAACTTTGTAATACCTTATAGGTTGCAAGAGATTTAAAGTGGGTTGATCATTTAAAAATTGTTAGGAAATATATGATTTTGTGATTGCATTGTAATAGTATGGATGTCTGATGTATTCTGTGATCTATTTAGCAGCATTCCTAATACATAAAAAAAAGACATATGAAAAGCTATTGGAATACAATAATTCGAGTGGACACCCCACACACACACACACACACACACACACACACACACACACACACACACACACACACACACACACACACACTTAACCATCATTGGCAAAAAGAAACAAAAAGCTGTTTGTCTGACATAGTTGTTGTTTTTTCAGGTATGTGTTGATAGGTGCTTGTCCCGGGGTGCCACTAGTAACAGGACAGATGACAATGCAGATACCCTGAAGAAACGGTAAGCAGTGTAGCAGCTTTTGTGACTCTGTTACAGTTGTGGCCACTGGTGATACTGCACATTTGTTTAATTTCATTTTGGAAATTAAATAGGGAACAAGTAAAACACCATCTTTTTTTTCCTTTTCTCAAAGCACTAAATGGAAAGTGTAAAACTTTGATTATTAGAGAATCAAATCAGCTTTTTTGCCATTAACTCTTTGACTACCGGGCCCTTTCACTGGTCACTAGCTCTGTATACTCTCGTTTTTGGGAGTATTTCAAAACACCACAACTCTTAGAATTACCCTGTTGTAATTATTTTTGACACAGTAAAGTTACATTCAAGCTTTATCTAATACAAAAAACTAAAGTTGTTTAAGTCTAATATTTTAATTTCTATGATGAAAAAAAATTGGCATGCTTTCGATGTTTAGAAAAATTTTCCAGAGACATGACAGACAGATAGAATGATGAAATTCACAACAACTACAAAAATAAGAGTTCAAAGTGTTTTGTTTTGATTTGTGTGCACGTGTGAGTGTTTGGTGAAAATATAAAGGCTGGGCTGTGGGTTGATTCAGACCCATACACCGAATTATGCGAGACAGATGTAGGGCACGAAGTTGTGATCTCGTGTTAACAACTGTACCAGTACTAGTGCTAGATCTAGCCTGAAAACTAAGACTCTGGCTGAGTTCGGGTACATATCCAGGGTCCTAACAATCAGACATATCATATTCTGAGTCACTAGAACAAGTAAAACTAACAGAAGTATCGAAAACAGCGAAATTATGTGATTCTTACTCATGCGACTTCTTCGACGCGTCTATCAAGTTGCTATTAACTGTATAGAAAAAGCATAGCGCTATTTCCCATCAGTCCAACCCCAGCTGGGGTGACTGTCTTTCACCTTAATTTACTTATAAAGCTACCACGCAACATCCGCCAAACTCGGCACAAAACGAAAGAAGTGGTAAAACTAGCAGTGGAATCCATCCCGTCAGGGGGTACGGGATCTGTACCAGCAAACCGACCACCTGTCCCATACCTGTGAGGGGAACAGTAGTCAGTGAGTTAATTGGGTTAATGACATAGTCGAACCTTTCCAAGATGACCACCCAGTGTAGAGGAGAAAAGTGGTAATCTGAGACAGGTGTTCCTCTTGGATAGTGCCATTACAATGTAGTAAAAAATGCAAGGTGGAAAGTAGCAGGAAATGGTCGTTTGTACAAGTGATTGTCTTGGACAGGTGGTAATATAGTAGACTCGACTGCATTTGATGAGATATGTCTTATTTGTACACATAATGATCTGTGGTTACATTCAGTTACATCAGGGTACATGCTGAAAGATCAGTAGAAGAGTGTGCTAGGTTTGTTGTTTGCCACTATATACAAATACTGGTGCTTTTTAAAAATTCTGCTCTTTTGTTATGCCTTGGAATGGAATTCAGTGTTTGATCCATTTTCTTTCTATTTCAGGTTAACGACATACAAGGAATCCACTATGCCTATCGTAGAAAGCTTTCGAACTCTGAACCTGATCTCAGAAATTGATGCATCAGGATCCCCTGAACAAGTAATATTTATTTATTGATTGATTGCTTGGGGAAGAGATAAGTTGTACTGTACAAACATAATTAATTGTCATATGTTTGGAGTAACCAGTGTAATAATAAGAATAGACTGGCGTCTGTGGTTTATCGGTCAAGCATTTTATTGTCACAGGAAGAAGACCCAAATTCGATTCTGAGTGGAGATAAATTTTTATTTAGTTTCTCGTTCTTTCTGGTAGGATGCTGCATCCCTCTCAACTGGGGTTGGACCTGACATGCAGATGTTAATCTAAATTGTGTTAATGGGGGTGTAAAAGCACCAAATCTGCAAAGCCCAAAATAAGTATAGTCTTTTCTTGTGCATAATAATAATAATGAAATTCATTTCTATAGCGCCCACTCCCGTGTAAACACAGCTCTAGGCACTTTACATTTATGCATGTATGAACAATATTCACACATGCTCACACACATACATACATACACTCGTCTTGTATAAGTTACGGATATTTACCGTAATTCTCTCGGCAACAAGTTAATGTTTATAGAAACCTGCCAGATTATTCATTTCATTCAGTCAGCCATTATTCTGCTATGCCCCTTGCATTCATTGCGGTGCGATTGGTCGGCAGTACATTTTTTACATGCTGATGGATCAAAATCTGGCGCACCTTTTGTGCCAATTTTCTCCTTTCTATCATTCACTCATTCCTTCTGTCTATCTTCGGATTGTTGCCGCGGCTGGAAAATCTGCGCGTTGATCAAGTAAATTGAGTTGTGATCTTAAACAGAAAGTTACTGTCAGAAAGAAACTTTTTTTGCAAATTTGTGTAGATCTTGATCTAGAGACATTATCAATGCGAAGATTCTACGGCACATGAGCACGATAATATAAGGGCCGCGATGAAAGAAATACAGTGGAAACCATATATAACAGGCCCGGTAATAACAGGGATTTTTAAAATCCCCCCAACCGGTTATAGCAGGGACAAAAGCTGTTAACAATGTGTAAACAGTAAGAGCGAGAGAGAGAGAGAGAGAGTAACGCAGTGATGGAGCAAGCCCACGCAAGCCATGCCACAGCAAGCACACGCTGCTTGTGAAGTGAGAGAGGGCTGCGGTGTGCTGCAGACCTCGATCTAGCCCGAAACCTAGCAACACACATGCGTAATGTGTCACCAACGATGTCAAGCTCAAGAGAAAATGCCTTTCAATTGACAAAAAATACCAAATAATCCAGGATGTTGACAAAAAGCAAGCTCCACTGGCAGAGATTTGTTGTCAGTTCGACATTCCACGAGGGTCGATTCACACCATTATCAAGGATAGAGAGAAGATAGTGGCAGCATACTCCAATGGGAAGTTTGCTCTGGATCGAAAGAAGATGTGACTACCCGATGCTGATGCTGTGGACCAAGCTCTTCTGATGTGGTTTAAAGAGACAAGGAGAAAGTTGATGCCAAAACCCATGTTCGTGGGTACTTGTGGCAAGGGCAACTACCCATGAACAAGTACAGCTGGATTAGTCCACAAATGCCTACTTTCCTTGCATTTCTGATTTAACAGGAATCGGATATAACAGGACATTTTCTCTACTCCCGCCATCCCTGCTATATCAGGTTTCCACTGTATTATTAAATGCTGATACGGGGTGCCCACTATGGATGGGATCGGGCTAATCGCCCGACTCGGTCACCTCAAAAACAAACGTGTTTGTTTTCAGTTTAAGGCGATTGAGTCGGGCGATCGGCCCAATCCAGCCGTAGATAAAATCAAAAATAATTCGAAGCGGTGTTCCAAGGTTGTGACGGGCGACATTCAGACCTGAAAATAGAAGGAAAAATTAGGGTTTGCCCTGAGCAACTGTATTGTGAAGGTACATATCTATTCATTATTCCCAGGTTTGCCTGCTATCAATGGTGCGGCGACAAATTAATTGAATTATAGTAGCAATGAAACCTTGTTTGTTATTAATTCATATTTTCTCATTTTCTTTCTTTCAGGTCTTCGCAGAAGTTCAAAAAGTTTTTACAGACCTGGGATATAAGGCCTCTTAGGTGTTTTCAGTATTCGATTAGTCAAATTGTACTAAATTGTTTGGGTATTTTTTAGCTCTAACGTGGTGATAACTCTGGTCTGAGTTTGTTACATGCTTTTACTCGATTGTGTGACATTTGTATATTTATAACATGAGCGTGCAGTGGTCTCAGTAACCACGAGATGTGCAAGACGCACTTATTTTATTATTTTGTGCCAGGGGGAGGGGTCACATTTTAGAAGACCAGTTTCTTTGTGGCATACGTTAAAGAAATAGTTCCTTCAGCGTGAAATGTGACAGCAGATTGAGACGGGTTGTTTTGAAGTCAGTTTTAGAAAATGAGGTAGGTCGGAGTCGTACTTTGAATCCTTAATGATAAGAAAGTTTGGGGGGGGGGGGTTGGGTCCGTTGTGACAGTTCAGTTGTATATTTGTATAAATAAGGGAAGTTTAAGAGTTTTTATAATCTTCGTGTACTTTATGGAGAGAGTGAAAGTAGGTAGCGTAAACATGGCCTCGCGGGCACTCGCGGCCTTCCGACCGCGTGGTATTGGTAAAATTGGGGTAATTCCGATCGCTGTTTCTTTGCTCTTTCGCTATAAAACACCAAGTGCCGTACACCTTGTAAAAGTTCAGCTTTTCCACGTTACAAAGGTGTAAGTTGTTTTTATGTCCGATCATTAGGAGCTGGAGAATCGCCGAGGAAAGCGAAGCCCCTCGCGGTCGGAATGCGTGGTCGGCCGGTTGAAAAATTGACATGCGTGCATTCAAATGCTTTGCGGAACGAGGGATGATTAAATACCGTCTTTTCATTGGCGGAGAACTGCAGAGCTTTAAACGGGCTTTCCCGTGATATAAGTTTAGCCTTTGGCGTCTTTATAGAAAGCTTTTAAAAACACCGTCAAAATGTTTAAAGATCCCTTTTTACACAAAATATGTATAATACCGACTTATAACTGATATCAATTAAAAGATCAGTTCATTTTCTATTAGAATAAAGTTATTAACTTGGAATTATTTTTCATCAATCCTTCCGCGAGACTCGGAAAGCATGTGACCCCGCACGCGGGGTACACTACAGTATAGAGCCGACTCGCTCGCCGCGGGGGCTGGTGCATGCCGCCGGGTCAACGCTCGGAGTTTTTGTCGAAATAACGACAGATCATCGTGTTTGAGGCGATAAAATACTGATTTGTAAAGATCTCAGTCTTGAAAAAAATTAGGCTCCATATATTTGTTATAGTGATTGTACTCTGTTAATGTGGAGATGTTTAGTGCACTTGGTACTTTTTTATTGTCTGTCAAACATGGGGTTGCAGCCAGTGACTGACTTTAACAAATTTGATCAAATTTTAAACAACTACAATTTTCTTAAAAATTGACGGAGAGGTTAAAGAATGGTACCAAAATGCTCAGTTGATATAGGCCTTTCAAATGGAACAGATAAATTTGGCATACAGCTAGTTTGAAAATTTAGTTTCTGGTACCTAGTGAAAGTCAGCTATTGTTTTAGGACATGGCAGCATTATATTAAAATATTGCTGTGAGTAATGTCCTTGTTGTAGTCTCTCTTTCTGATTATTTTTTGTAGAGGAGCAGATTTTCTTCATCAATATATCGGTTCCAAGGGGTTGCAGGTTTTATTTTGAAAATGGATATTGTTATATTTTGAAAAAATTTTTCCAGCTAAATTAATTCTGAAATTTACATTGTGTCTTAATGTTGCTTGTTACAGCCAGCTCAAAAGCATTATGAACATTTAAAGCACCACACCATTATCATTTGTGTTCCTCTGTTATTGATGTGTTACAGAAGAATGATATGCAGATGTCGTACTGTAGACTTGATGCTTTGATTGGTTACCAGCTTGTGATAGGGGGACCACAGTGCCTAATGGGAGTTTTGAATTCTTTTTCATAATTTGGAAGTGAATTATTGTGTTATGGGCATGTCTTTGATTTTTCAAACTTTTAATAGTTTATTGATGGATGTAGTGTGTTATCACCAATATTACTATGTTTTACTCATCGCACTTTTCTTCTCTTGGGTGATGAAAAGGTTAAAGTTGGTGGATGTGGTTTAGAAAATACTATCGGTATTATTACTTTGTACATTATTTTGTCAATGGGTTTTTAAGTTATGTTGAGCTTCAGGAGCATTGGATGGGCAGTTTTAAAAAAATATTTATCTTCTCTCCATCATCCTTACCTGCAACAAGTACTAGCTAAATGTTTTCTCTGCTCTGTCTCTCTTTATCTCATGTGTGTTAATCTGCCTCTGGCTCTTTTCTTTCTTGTACATTGTGGGCATTAAGACCACTGTTTCGGTTGGTTATAACATCTGGTTTACAAAGATCATCTGTTATGTGCTGTTGGGAAGTGTTCTCCTAGGAAAAGTGAAATTGAACACTGCTCCTAGTTAAACTATAAGTGTTTTTACTTTTTCCCTGTTTTGCATTAATGCATTCCATTTTGTTCTGCTTTCTTTTTCTTTCTTTTTTTATGTAATTTAAAATGCTCTTATCTTTTTTAATGAATAATATTTTTGTCTGCCTCTTCGGTGCTTATGGGTGGAATTACTTATCCTGTGTGGGTTTTATTAGATTTGTAGTAGTTATATTGTAATGTTTGAAAATTAATTCTGCTGGATGAATAAATGAAATGCTGTCTGAGAAAAAAATATATACTGGTTTGAACATTTTTATTTTCATTGTAAGTGTTTTATTGATTAAAGTATCTGTACATTACATAGGATTTTGCTCTATGGCTCTATGGTCCAGTGCCATGACTGTGTAGTTGTTGTTAGTCTGGAATTGTTGAGTAGTTCAATACTATATGATACAGGTAGAGTATTTTCTGTGTCTGGTCTTTGTAGAAGAAAAAAGTTGTTCCAGTGTCATTATAGTAGAGTGCTGAGCAGGAAGAAACAGTTGGATGACCAAAGGGTTCATCATACTGAAGGATGCTGTGGTTGAATTTTATGAGTAAATATGCTGCTCTGTGCCTGGGTAGAAGATTGCAGCATGTTCCTTTTCTCGGGTGGTGGTAAATAGTGTCGTTTTGTTCTGTGCACGGCACACCAGCAGTGGAATTTTAGTTTTTCTTTTTGTATCATTTAATTTGTGTCGTGTGTATGTTTTCATTTCTTTGTGCGGGTGGTTTTAGGACACCATAGTGGGTGTTTGGCAGGTGCTCTGGTGTGGGTTGCTCCTTCTTTCCTATCAAACATCTGTTGTCTTTATCTCCCCTCTTTCTTTTTGTGTTTATTACTCCCTTGTAACACCTCTAATCTTCGGCATTTATATGACATTATTGTGTTGCAAGTGCCGTAAAACACTAAAAACATTTTAAAATCTTCTGCACTTACGTGACCTCATTGTGTGACAAGTACCGTAAAACTCTTACTAAAACTAAAATGGGCACCATAATCAGTATTCTAATTGTGATAGTAACCCGATAGTCTTTTGATAACACACACTTTATTGGAACAGTAGGAATACTTATTACAAAATGATTCATAAGATGTTAATGTTAGTAGTTAAATTGACGATGGTAAAAATGACCTGTTTTCTTTGTTACTTGTTAGAAGCATAGGTGTTTGCTTCTTATTGATATAATATAGTATTAATTTGAGTGAACAAGGGACAATTGGTTGTCCGAAAAATGGGATCGATTTTCTTTGTGCAAGCAGCAAGCAACTTGCATAATTCATCGAAATTAAGGATGCATGGGGACAAGATTGATGCAGTACTTTCTTATACAGTATAACTGTAGTATCTAAACTTTCTACAAACTGTGGTTTATCGTTACAAGAAAATGAAGTGGTATGAGTATGAGATAGTGTTTGTAATTTTTATGCTTTTGAGGTGTGTTTTGCAGTTTTGATAAAAGTAAAAGCACTTAAAAGTCAATCTGAACAAAAGATGTCATGTTGTCTACCTGACTAATACTATCTGAGAGGGATACAACTTCCCAGCAGAAAGAAAGAGATACTCGATAAAAATTTACCCTTACTTGGGTCTCCTGTTTGCAACAGCAAAGCGCCTGACCGCTGCATCATAGATATACGGTGAACTGAATGTTGAAAAGTAATTGTGTGTTCGTGCTATTCAAATACACACATAGTAGTATTGTATTTGTATTGTGTTCCTCAGTTGAAGTTCAAAGATGTTTTGAATTGTGATACAGTGGAATCCTGTTATAACGAGAGAGAGGGGACCGGTGCGAAATGTCCGTTATAGCAGGATTCTCGTGACAAGGGATCCAGTAATAAATTATTCAAGGGAGATAGTTAAGTAGGCCTAATAATCTATGAGTTTGGCGTTCTGTTTATTCCTTTTTGTGTTTCCCCTGATAATTTGTTAAACATGATCTCTAGGTCTTACTTGATAAAAAATCGAATCAGGTTTCTTTCTCTAACACTAGCAATGTTGACAAATCGGCCTTGGCGATCAGAAAGAAGGGGCTCTGGCTCAAGGCTTACTCGCCCGCTGTGTTGTCCCCCACCCCACCACACCCTGTGGTGCGTTGCATCTGCTTGCGTACGTCACACATTCACTCCATCCATCTATCACAGCATTGTGACCTCTCCATCCCGCACCAGAGAAGTGAGAGGCACGGTATGCCTAGATAATCTAGACTGGGCTGGCCTATCACGCGATGTGTTCTGCCACACCCTCCTCACTCATTCGCTCTGGCCTTCATTGTTGGTTCGCATGGGCTCTCCCATTCTTTGTTTCACTGGATCACCAACAACTTTCTCAACTGGCAAGGTTTTGTAATATGTTTAATTGGTCTGTGCACAGCAGCAGCAATATTCCGTTATAACCGACTCGCGTGGCGGTCTGATTGCGCAATAGCAGTATTTTATTTACAAAGATAAAAGAAAGAGAATAAACGGGGTTTTTGAATAGTGTCTTTATAACAGATTTCTCGTTGTTTCAGGACTCGTTATAAGTGGACTCCACTGTACTGGTACATTAATAAAAAGAATCGTGTGTAGAGAAGAAAAAATTATTCAGAGTTCCTTGTTAGTTAGTTCAATGATCCTTGTCTCTCTGAATCAGAATACCGATATTTGTTTTTTAATATATATTAAGTTCTGGCTAAGAGTGGAAGGCACTGCAGAAATTTTACATCGCTCAAGTCTTTCATCCTACGTCACTTCTGTCACTGTCTTGCATGAAATCAAAGACCATCATATCATTACATGTATCAATCATTCAATGTGCTTCTTCACTTGTTTGGGGTTTTTTTTACAATAAAAATTTTAAAGCACCTTGTGCCTCTGTGACTAAGTTGGTCATGTTGAATTCTGAACTTTAATTAGCTTGAACATTAATGACAACCTACATACTACATGTTATAATGCCTTCTTAGATTTTGTTCATCTTTTATTTTCGAGATTGAAAATGGAATTAATGGGGGTGTTTTTTATCATTCAGTTGAAAAACCCACTGCACTACTAATACTAAATATCAGTACCGTACTAATCCACTGTAAAAATAGTGTAGTAATAGTTAATACTGGATCTAATGGTGCTAATGCTAATCTTCAAATGAACTGATGGGAATAGGATGTCCAATTTTTTACAAAAATGTTTGACTAGATCTAACTGTCGTTACTTAAAACGAAAGGAGACCCACTGTCAAGGAAAGAAGTGTGATGAATGGAATTTGAGGGACAAATCGTTTCATTCTTATTGTGTAGAACTGAAGGGCTATTTTGATATATATATATGTTGTTCTTCAACTAGAATAAGTTCTATTCATTGAGATTAGGTGTCTCTGTTTGTACTTTGTTCTTGTTCAGAGGGGTGTTTCCTTGGCATATTTTCTGGATTTATTGAGGGAAAAATTTACAAATATAATTAAATAACATAACATATCTAAAGTTTCAGTTCAATCTAATGGATTCTATACCAGAGAAGCGCTGCTAGAATTTGGTTGGATTTTTTTATGGTCCTTTTCCTTTAGGCTTAAACAGAAATGTGTGCTGTTGCTTTTTAAAACCAGCTTGTATTTTTGTAATTTGTATTGCCTACAGTTGAAATTGAAGCTGTGTAAATAAGACGGCCACACATTATTGAGGAGAAAGTGGTCATCTTTAACAATTAATTATCATAAATGTAAAAAAATCCCCTGGGGAGAAAATGGGAAGTAGCAGTTTGCACAGGTGATTGTCTTAATATGCAGGTGGTCATTAGAACAGGTTTGACTGTAACTTATTTAGACTGCGCTGATGTCCTTTAGGAGTCCTGTTAAAAAAAAGAATGTTTACAAATTACTCTCCACTGTCAATGTTATCACTGCTGGATCTCATGCACTCTCGGTGCAAAGTCCAACTGGTACATGTACTGGTATCATGACATGAAGATAAACCTGTGACTGTGAAGTTTTATTTAGAATAGAAAAGATAAAATGAAAATGAAGCATGTGATTGTGAAGTGGATTGATTTGTATACGTCTTGGTTTAAATTTAAGTTTAAGCCGTCACTGCTGCCACTTTGAAATCGCCGTTTAAATATTTCTTTTTACTATCAATCATTATATAAATCAATTCTTTTCAAAAGGGAAGGAAAATTGGTCAGTGTAAATTTCCAAAGTTACCAGTTATATTTCTCCAGATAACCCTTCTTATCTTTCGAATCTTGGGTAAATAGTATTGTATTCACTACTGTTGCAGTGTTACTGAACTTAATCACTGTTAGCCTAGTCAGTGGGATCAGTGTCATGCTGGTGAGTATGACAGGCATGGTTCTAGTTCGAATCCTCAGCCTTAAGGTGTTCTTGAATTTGGGTTGTTTTCAAAGCTCACTTGTTTGATAGCTAGGTTCTTCTGGGAACATCTGAATGGATTTTTAAAAGTAAAAGGTCTTTCATCGTTAAACCTAAACACACGCTTTGACAGTTTACAAGAACACTAAGTAACTAGTAACAGTACATCACGTCATGTACCAATTTTTTTTAATGTGAAAGAAAGTCCCCCAAAAAGTCTCATGTGAGGATTGGACCTGGGACTTGCCATTCATGAATTACTTCCAAGCTCAAGAGAAAAGCTGAACTTAGTCTGACAAGGCACTAAGTAGTAGTTAGTAGTAGGCCTACCAAATCAGGTAGCCATGGGCCAGTAGTTAGCCACCATTATTTTAATATCTTGGCTCAGTTTACCATAATTTACATAACATCTTTGAAATGCAATGTTTAAACAAAATTATAAGAGAAAATGATCATACTTAATACTATCAACATTTAATTTAGAATCACTACACCAAACTTCCATCCTATTCTTAAATTTAGTTTTAGTAGACGTTTTACGGCATTAGCAACCTAATTTAGGTCATAATTATAAAATATAATACTCTTTCATCCTTGGCGCTGAAGATAAGATGTTACAGTGTTACAAAAGAGAAACACAAAAAAGGAAAGATTAGGATGATAGATGTTTAGTTTAGATGTACATGTAGTTTTAGTAAGAGTTAATTAGGTCAAAATATGATATATATATATATATATATATATATATAATTATTAATGCCCAAAATTAAAAAAATATGTTAATGGTACATGTAAATGTTTAATTCCCCCATCGACGCTATGTATTATTAGGTTATTCAAGAGATTTAAATTTAACGTCCATCTCAAAAAGGGCGGAGCCAAATAGGAAGAAAGTCATCATGTCAGTAAAGTGCCTTTCCAAAGGACACATTTGATTGAGCTGAGGCTTGAACCCACAATCTCTCGATTACGGGTCCAGTAGCCTAACCACTGGACTACCGACGCCACCCTGAAGATTAGGAAGTGTTACGCGTTACAAGAGTGAAGAAACGCAGGAAAGGAGAGAAAAAGATAAATGTTTTGATAGAAAGAAGTAGCAAACCACACAAGAGAACCCGCCAACCTCAACCAGTTTGTTTTGGAACATACATGCACTGTAATGTGTTTTACGGCATTCGCAACTCTGCATAGGTTGTATGAGTGAGCGCGTGACGTGGGACACATTTAACTTTTAATATTTTCCAGTTTGGTAGGTAGTAGGTATTTTAAAATTTTGCCTTGGTGGCGGCCAAAGCCTACTGTTAACGATTTTTAGTTGATTTTTTTAGGACCACCAAGGGATTTTAAACGTGCGCAATTTGCGCTTTGGACCTCTGAGATTTTTTTCCCTTTATCCAAGAAGACAGGGTGTTACAAGTACTAGTGTTAGATCCTACCCTCTACCAAGAATAAGATCAGGGGTGCGGCTGAATGACAGCTGTGTGTAAGATAAGTGTAAGGAGCCAAGGAGTAGCATGGCTGCAGAAAGTAGACAAAAAAGCAGACGCTAGAGAACATGGTAGAAAGCAGGAAAGAAAATTCTAGAGAAGATAATCCATCACTAGGTCTTGATTCCAACCTGCCTATTGAACGAGAGTGAAAGGCGAACAACGTAACGTCTAAACCACAGAGAGCCCGTCAACAATGTCATTTCTCTAGTGTTAGTGGGGGTTAACCAGCATCATGCTGACTATACTATAACTATAATATAATTTATAATTATAAGGAAGAAGAAGCAAACCACACAAAAGCACCTGCATACTTTAAATGTAGAATGCCAAGCAAGCTTCTGGTGATTTTGCACATGGCATGGTGCAATCACAATCTGACAAAAAGCATTCCAATTCCAATTAATTGATATCTAAATCTAGATCTAGATCTAGGCCTAGAAGATCAATTGTGGCAAAGTTTTTAGAAAAATAAAGGCAGAAAAGCAGAAGACCACAACGCCAATACAGTGTCTATACACTCCTTATAGAATCTAGATAGATCATAGATAATAGATGTAGAAGTAGAAGCAGCATGCTCGAGTCGAAAGTAGAGTAATAGAGTAGTCTTAGACTTGAAAGATCTAGAAGAAATTTGGTTTTAACCCAGACTGAAGATCCAACATTCTGGAAAACTGGGGTGGCCCTCAAAAGGGCCTTTGTGAGTCTTGAAACTTCAGCAGTTCACTTAGAACTCTTGGGATTGAGAAGACTTCTTGGCCTTTGCAGCAGTGGCGGCAGCGGACTTCTTGGGCAGGAGGACAGCCTGGATATTTGGCAGCACACCTCCCTGGGCAATGGTGACACCAGAAAGCAGCTTGTTCAGTTCCTCATCATTTCTGATAGCTAGTTGAAGATGACGGGGAATGATTCTTGTCTTTTTGTTGTCACGAGCAGCATTACCAGCCAACTCCAACACTTCGGCAGCGAGGTACTCAAGGACAGCCGCCAAATACACAGGGGCTCCAGCGCCTACTCGTTCAGCATAATTGCCTTTTCTCAGAAGACGGTGAATTCTGCCAACAGGAAACTGCAGTCCAGCCCTTGAGGAACGGCTCTTTGCCTTGGCTTTAGCTTTGCCTCCTTTTCCGCGTCCAGACATGATGTTCAGAATTTCTTTGTGACAAAAACTTGATGAAAGTAAACCGGCTCGATGACTCGATCTGAAATGAATTTCGCGCACTTTCACCTCCTTTTTATACAACTAGAAATTCCTGACAAAGCAGTTTTCAACATCCAATGAAAATTCACAACTGATAGTAAATGACCAATCAAAACTCTTGTTTAGAGTAGCCTCCCTTGGCTACTTCCTCTGACCTTGGTGACCCTGGTCATAACAATGCTAGTTCGGAAAACTATTGCTTCGCTGTTTACTAGACTCTACTTATGAAATTATGCGTAATTTTGCCCAAGTTCATGGTACCGGGCATCGTGAACAATCCTCCGATTTGTATTTTGGAAAGAAAAAAAAACGTTGACGTTTGGATTTTTAAAAAAATGTGAAAGCTTTATATTGGATAGTAATTTTCATGTGAACAGGGACAGTGACGTTCTCTAATAACGAGGAAACATAATAATATTGATCGTGCGATAGCCTAGAATAGAATCTAGCCTAACATTTAAGTTTTAACATTGCCTTCACTAGATCTAACCCCTCAAAAATAAAATCAAAGGGTCTTTAAAGGGATTTAAAAAAAACTAGCTTTTTATTTGAAGAGAGGGTGTAAGTTTTGAGAATTGAGATCTTACGTTCTTACTGAACTGTAAATGAATTTATATTGGCGGGAAAATTGAAAATTCAGCCGGCAAGCTCAAGGGATCAAGATCCGAATTCCAAATAGCATAATCAGATCTATAGATCTAGATGCCATAGGCCCCTACGCAATACACAAGCCAATTGAAACTAAGTCATTCGTGACAAACCTGTTTGTTTGGAGATGATATCCCCGCCCGCTCCCTCTCTCTCTCTCTCTCTCTCTCTCTCTCTCTCTCTCTCTCTCTCTCTCTCTCTC